CAAAGATGACTCGCTAGGACATAACAATTTCTTCGTCTTCGCAGTTTCTTCTAAAGATGTTGTTCAGTGTCCCTATGTCAAGGTAAACCTGAATTGACTGGCCTTAACAGTTAATATTAACAATCCCATCACTGCAATGCACTCTGAAGTTGGACCACTTCGCAGGCAGCCCTTTGACCCCGATGAGGTCTTCTTTCTTTCGCTTTTTTTTTTTTTTTTATCAAAAATCGACGCCTTCTCCAAAGTGTCAGTTATTGAGAGGAAATTGAATAGGTGTTGCCCTTCCTTTTCTCGTCTCCGTCCTTGCACAGGGCCCTGCAGAGATGTTCTGTCTCCATAATATAGACTTGGCAAACAAGGTCAGATGGAGTGTGCAGAGAGTGCTGCTGCAAAAAGACATTTTGTCACACCGTCACCCACTTCAGTTTATGCCTGAAAACATTTCGTTTTCTTCATGTTCCGTTCACGCTGTTCAACATTGGTTCTGAAGTACACGGAGGTCTCCCAGTCTCCCGCCTTATGTGTGCTCGAATTAAATTATATCTTTGTATCTTATTTAAAGTGTTAATTCCCTTTAAAAGAAAGGAGATATATTTGTTGTCTGTGTATGAGAAAAGGCACAAAAAAAATCAATGTCTATTTACTTTTTTACTAAACGGATTACGTAACAGAAAAAAGAAACACATTGTGTAGAAATAGATTTGATTAATTTCCCATTATGTTTCCTTTTGTTAAATGCTTTTGCTTAGCCTTTTCAGCCCTCAGACACAACCATTTAATTAGGGGCAGAAATTCCTGCTTACACAGAGGCAGGGCTTCGAAAACTTGCCAAATCAAATCAAGTAATATACATAATGCCCATACTGAGCGAGCTAATGTGGATTATCTCCCAGTATATCGGGATTACTGCACCGACTGTGTCCAGGACCTCCATTTAATTTGTCACAGTGTTTCAGTTTTTCGCCATCATTTGCTTTCACCCACACGTGCTAACCCTTATTAAATTTATGACTTCACTCCGTCTTCGGTTTGAGTCTTCAAGCAGGTTAAAGGGCAGCAGGGCGGCTGCTCTGTCCGTTCTCACGTGACGTTATTGCAGAGTCAACAGAAAGGTGTTAATAATGCCTATATATAAAACAGGAGGCACAGTGAGGACAGTATGGCCTCAGCACCTCAGCCCTTTTCTGGTATTTTATGAGTCCCTCGTGGGCCTGGAGGGTGCGAGAGAGGAGACGGACTCTGAAAGATCTAATTAAGCAAAGCGAAATGAGAGTGCCGAGATGCCAAGCGCAGGACAGGACACAAATCAGGAGGTGTTGACAGTGCGCTGCAGTGCAATGCGGTTTTATAGCAAAGGCCACGTATAGCTTTCACGTAATGAGCGGCCATACAGCTCCTTGATTTAATGTTTTTTATGGCTCCGGGGTTAAGGGTTGTGAATCTCAATCTCATTATGTAGAACATCAGCTTGTAAATTTAGGCATTTTGTCTTATTTGTGCTCAAAGAGGTAATTAGTGTGTTCTCAGTGGCTGGTTGTGCTTGTGAAGAAGCGGATGACTCCATCAGGTGCTTGTTTGGCGTTTAATAGAGATGAGGATAAAAAAGCTAAAGACTTCTATATTCATAACTCAGAGTACTTCTGTAGGTATGGTGTGTTGCCCCAGATGCTTATTGTCAGAGAGGCTCCTATTTCAGAGGTGCAAACTCGGTGGGATGTTAAGATTTTTTTCCTCTGTCTGGCTTCTGCACCATTCACATGCTATTACATCTGAGAGGAGAATAAGTGTCTTCTGGACACCTGGCGCCAAGGCTGTGACTGTCTGGTCTCTCGGGCTTGTTTCTGACTGAGAACAGAAAGACCTTGGAGTACAAAGACAACAGGCTTGATTATTTGAGTACACAGGAAGGTCTCCAAACATTGTTGTGCTAATCACGTTAGTGGGCACAGACTCAAGGCAGGACAGATGCGAGGCAAAGGGCAATGGGGTTATGTTATCCTGATTAGAGGAGGCTTTGGGGCGGTCGGGGGGTTTGTGAATCTCGTTTTTACCTCGGCGTCACCTTGGTGAAGAGGGAAGAGGGAAACTGGCCATGAGCTCATTTTTCTCACTCAGTTTCTTTTCTCACTCGGTCCCCTCATTTGTCTCCGGTATTCACTGCTGCCATCGCCAGAACTGAATGTGTCTGTACATTCAAAAGCCCACATTTAATTTTTTTCCCCCTTTTGTTAACCACCTACACACATAGCAGTGACTTGGTGGATAATACTTTCATTTTTCTTCTTTCTCATTCACACGGCGAAAAGTGGTTAAAAAAAGATTTGTTCCTTGTCTGATATGTTTACCTTGGTTCATGGGAGTCTGTTTCCCAAAAATGCCTCAGTGATTCATTTGCAAAGCTCAACCACTTAAATTAGATGAACAAGTCTGTGCTATGGACATGTTCGCGGTATGAGCACTAATGTAACTAATTTACTCTCTTTTTCATATACGCTTGTACGGTACTGTGCGAGTCATGAGCCAGCCCTCGTTTCGTTATATTTTACTTCCGGGGAGCCAGACTTTCTTGTCATTTTGTTATAGCGGTCTTGAGCAGTTGTTCTCCAGGCTTTCTAAAGATGTTTCAAAGTTTTTCTTTGGACATTACCTGCATTTTCACTCATCCTCAGTCCAGTCCTTGTACCATTTCCAAAGGAACATTTTGTTTTTTTGTTAAGCCGACGGGCAACTTAGCAAAGAGTGCACATTTGCACATCCTCTACAGAGAAAAGAAGAAAGATAAGAGGGGCAACTTGATGTCAAAGTATATTAATTTTGAGTAGCACACAGATATAATAACAATAATAATTAGAGCTATTATGTTATATGTTGCAACCTGTATTTAGTTTCTGTTCTTACTGTCTTGGAGCATGTGTGTCTACACAGTTTCCTTAGGGATTAATAAAGTATTCTGTTTCTGATTCACTTTAAAGTTGCTAGTAGGACCCTGTCACAAAAACATAATTTGTTCCCATTTCTTTAGCTGAATCTGAGAAATGCCAAATATTACACAGTTCAAAAGGCATAAAATAACATTCTTGCATCAACAAAGTACGGAGCCCCGCAGGGGACATGGGAGAAAAAAAAAATTAAGACAGGCTTTTGCGAGATCTTGCAAAACAAACTCGGGATCTCGCAAAAGTTTTGCGAGATCTCGCAAAACAAACTTGGGATCTCGCAAAAGTTTTGCGAGATCTCGCAAAAGTTGAATTCCAACAATGGCGGCAGCTACTTAGTTGTAATATTACTCTTTCTGGGTCACAAAATACACTTTTAAGATATTTTGAGGCGTGAATGTAGCTGTGTAAACATCAGACACCTGCTCGCTTTACAAGACATCACATATTTGCAAAAGTGCTCCGACGTTTTTGGAGATCTGACACCCACCATCTCGAAGCTAACGGGAGGTCGAGACCTACTACAGCCGGGAGGAACACCGCTTTCCCGGCACATCATGCCTCGACCTCCCGGTCGGCTTCGAGCTGGCGGCCTCCGAAGAATGTGGCTAAAACTTTTGCGAGATCTCGCAAAAGTCCGTCTTAATTTTTTTTTCTCCCATGTCCCCTGCGGGGCTCCGTAACAAAGTGATTCCCAAGCAGCAAGTAGCTGAAAGGTTGATACATTTCTGCATGGTGTGCAGTGTGTCCTTAAAAAATTTGAGGAAACTCAAATTGTCCTTAACAAACAGGACAAATCTAGTAGAAACCTGACACAGGACCTGACAGATGGATATGGTTGTTCAGTCCACTACTAACTACTGTCAAGAAGCCATTCTTAAGGAAGGCAAATAGGAAGAAAAGGTTGATGTGTGCCAAATTCCACAAGAACTGAACTGAAAATCATTGGCAAGAGGTCTGACAAAGTAAAGCATCCAAAATCCAGAATTTTTGGTTCAAATCATCACCAATATGTATGGAGGAGGTCAGGATATGGGTACAACCATGAGCGTCTATAACATCTATAAAATACGGTGTCTGGATTTCAGCCTCTGGTGTTTGCGATCTTTTCAGATCAGAATTAATGGAATTACGAAGCACAATTTTGATCTTCCATGCAGTACCTGTATCTGGAAAGCATCTGATTTACAACAGCCTAATTTCTCAGCATGACAGTGACTCCAAAAAAACACTGCCAATACTTCAAAATCATACCTGGATAGAAAAACACAGTAACACTATTAGTCATGGATTGACCTCACTAGAGCCTGAACCTGAACGTTATTGCAAAACGAAAGGAGCCAAAATCCAAAGAAGTATTTTCAACTTTCCTTCAAGAAGCCTGGAGTACTATTCCTGAAAGCTACGTAAAGCAATAACAGTTCAAGCTGTGTTGAAGCTCATTAGAGTCGCCTTACATGCTGCGTTTAAATGTATGTTTCAATAAATTGCTACACCTAATTCCCATTTTCGAAGCACAATAAAAAAGTGATGGGTTTCTCAAGAGTTTTGTGCAGTACTGTAGATTGTGTATTTTCCCATCATGCATTATTACATATATAAATAAACTCAAACTATGATTTTCAATATTGCCCCTTGTGTCTAAAGAAAACAACACAGTCAAATTGTAAAATACATGAATGAAAAATACATGAATGTCCAAAAAGCTATTACTGCCACAGGAAAACACGGGTGTAGAAGATAGTGCAAGTGTCTGTGTGGTTGACTTCATTTTCCAATTTAAAATGAATAAACACCTCAGGCATTCGAGAGACTAGTTAACTTTTTTAAAATGCACGCTTCACTTCTGCAACTTGTAAATGATGTCTGTTTCTGACGCATGTAAGACATCTGGTGTACAGGAACGCAATGATTTAAAATACTTTTACATTGTTTTCAGGCTTAAACCGGCCAATACAGAGCAGCAGAAAAATTGGCTTCACAGTTAATGACCCCGACTTTTAATAACACATAAATGTTGAATAGAGCGATTAATTGTTGCATTCTGTCCTGCTTTTTTTCCAGGGTCCTATATGCTGGTGAACTCCTCCCAGCATGCCGTGGGTCATCGTGCTCAGCTGCTGCTGCAGACACTGAGTGAAAATGACACGCACTGCGTCCAGTTCAGCTACTTCCTGTATAGCCGTGATGGCCACAGTCCCGGGGCTCTACGGGCATATGTGCGGGTCAACGGCGGCCCGCTCGGCAGTCCAGTGTGGAACACGTCGGGGCCTCATGGCAAACAGTGGCATCAGGTTGAGCTGGCTGTCAGCACCTTCTGGCCGAACGAATACCAGGTACAAACATTCATATTTAAATATGTTGATGAAACTGATTTAAAACTGACTTAAAGTCTTCATCATCCTCGCTTTTAATATGTCGGACGTGTTGTTCAAAGTAGCTGCTTGATGCTCCTCTAAGAACTTAACATTTTTTTGTTTTGTTGGAGATATACAGACTCATTGACCGCGATCATGTAGAGCTTAAAAATGGTACACAGTGAGGCTCTGTTGATCACTACTCATTTTAGCCTCGAGGTACAGTTAATTACTTACATTTGCAACTTAATTAGCACTGATTCCCTTGTGGATGTAGCCAATGCTGGTGCTTAAAGCACCTAAGTAGATCTCACAAGGGAATGCCTGGTGGAGATTTCACCCTGCGAGGTTTGTTTTTCTGCACTTTCACTTCACTCTAACAATTCGCGTGATACGCCATTGTGTGCATGCAGCACGCAGACAGTGACTGGCATGCACTGTGAGGGTCTGATATGCTGTGGTCTGCACATGGCACAGTCAGGTGAGCGTGAGTGTTATCCATCTATTAATCCAATTTCTTCTTTCTGCAAACTCTGCGGAGCTGTCAAAAAGCAATTAAGTTGAGTAGTGTGCATTTTATCAAGAACTGTCAATCCTGCTGACTTAATTAAATTCTATTCAGACCTGCAAGATGTGACCTTCACTATGTAAATAATAGTCCTTAGCGTTGTGCAGACCTGGGGTGTAGATGCAGGGTGATGCCTTTCTCCCGACATCATGCGATCTGAAAATAAGGTAAACAATGTTAGGTTAACAGGATAAAACACATGTATATATTGTACAGAACAGTATTACAGTCAGGGGCACTTGACTCATAGCAGAAAATAATATTTCAGGCATACTTTATGTATCTACTTCTTTTCCAGGTTATAATTAAACACCAACGTTTGTTGACCTAAGTTAAAAAGGGACATTATTTTTCTTTGATTCAAAGAGAAACAAACCATTATAGTGAAACCCACTGAGTTTGTGGCGCTGCCATCTGTAGCTATAATTTCTGGATATCAAGTCAGTAGCTACAAATCACTAACTATACAAGAAGACAGCGAGCTGCACTAATCAGTGCCAAATCCAGTTGCAGTGTCTCTTGAGCTTTGGCCCCATAAACAGAGTAGCAAAGGACGCCTGCCAGTGAAACTGCTCATCAGTGGCAAATAATGAGGTCCACACTGTCTGATTCTTTTCTTTTCATGGCATTTTCATCGCAAATCGCTACTTTCACTGTACCCTTATTAAATACATTAAGTGGAGGTTTGCTCTCATTCTGCATGTTTAACAGTGAGCGAGCTGGAAGTGGAAGAGAGCTGCCATCTCCGTGTTATAAAACAGACTCACTAACCACAGTTTCACCCTATCATAACATCAGCGCAGATAAGTCCTGAATAAAATAATAAAACCTATCCTGCGTTTTCTTCGCCAGTCAAGTGCTATTGAATTTGCTTTTTGAACATCGCCGGTTTATTCCTTTCCCTTTCTCCGGGGAGCTGTGTACTTTCTCGTCTCTCGGTCTCGTTAGCATCCCAGTAAACACTGATGGCTCATAGGTGAGTCAGAATTATGCTGCAGCTGCCAATGAGAGGCTCCAGATAGGAGAAGGAGCTTTATAATGGGCTTATGAGGAGGAGTGGATGGCTCTGAAGACAGGACAAACAGTACAAGGGAAGAAGAAGAAGATGGGCCTTACACTTGAATTAGAATTGACAGTAGTGGCTTTTAATAGAACAGCTTAAACTGCTAATGGCTTTTATGTCATGTTGGGGGGGAACACGGTGTTCAGATTGGATTAAATTGCTAATATTTGGGATTTGATCAGCAGATATTGGCACCGTTAGAAAAACTGTATCTAATTTTAGCTTGTGAGGAATTAAAGCAATGTAGTTTTCCTTCTTTCTTTCTTCTACTTTCATCTCACATTTCACTTTAACTCAGCTGACCTCATACTGCTTCTGAGTACAAAGGGAACAAAACAAACTGCCTCCACAAAGTCACATATGCCACGGCTTACATTGCTAATCCCTCGGCAGTCAAAAACCTCATCACTGTGGAATGACAGTGGGCCTTGTCTTGCAACACGTCATTGCTCTCTGTTGCACAGACAGAACGGAGAGAAGGGCAAGTGGGGAGGTGTAAAAGCTCAATGTTTTCTTTAATGGTATCTAATAGTGCTGGCTATCCCCTATTGTAAAGCAGCAACGAAAAGGGGGAAGAGAAGTTTGCAGTGGCACTGCGTTCAACTTTCATTTTTACATGTTTTTTTTTTTAGCTGTATAGCAGCAGCTTTGTGTGACTTTAAATGGTGAAAGTCTTTGTTTATATTAGCTCCATGGCAGGTGTAATACTTCCACTTTGGGTTTCAAATGATAGGCAGGCTGATTTACACTGTCATTAAAGTAGAAAAGCACTCTTTTGAAGCAGCGGTGGATAATGGGTCCTTCTTATCATTGTCTGTGACTAAAATAAATCCCACGGGAACACACAAGCTTTTGGAGACAGTTTTTAAATCCTCAAGTTCTTCTGCCTTATTAGGTTTCAGGACATATTGGAGGAGCCAGTTTCTTGCCTACAGCACAGGGATACAAAATGTCAGGCTTTTACACTGCAGAGATACAGACGTGAGATTACACTCGAGCTTTCACCGTTTTGGGGTGTAATGAAATACTTTGTTTGGGGCACGCACTCAGTCTGTGTTTATTTCTTGAAAATGTCATTGTGGAATGTAATTAAGTGGAGTCTGACAAATTCTCTGATAATCACCAAAACTAAGGGGATTAATATGCCGAAAAACCACAATCACTCCAATCTCCTTTGTTCGCTTTCCTGGTGATTTAAAAAATTATTTTCTTGATTATATCCAACTTGAGTGTTTGAGGATTTTATCGAAAACGAATGATGATGTTTTTCTTTTTCTTTTTTTCTTTAACATGTCTATGTTTGCACTTTATGTGCAGTTTATTGTAAATTTTCTGATCAGGTTGCCGTGTATATTAATGCGAAGGCTGACAGGAGTCTCTTCCTCCTATCACAGGTGTTAAATTGGGATTTGGAGTGCAATGGGTTTCAGGAATGGAAAATAGAAGGCAGTAAGATCACCTTGAGATGTCTTGATTGAAAATGTCGTGCGAGTGCGATCTGCTGTGCATTGCCATATTTCTCTCTGCCTCATATTGGTTTAGAGTGTTTGCAATACCTGGAGAATCTTGTTATCAAATATTAAAGATGTTATCGAGCCCCCAAAACTGCTAACTAGAGCCGGAGACATGCACCTCTGCGCTGAACCCACCCGGTCCCAGCCGACCCCTCCTGTCTTCTTATTTCCTTTTCTTACTTTTCCCCATGTGTTTATATGGTATGATGCAAACATAATATTTTTCTTTTTCTTTTCTTTTACCTGGTGATTTCTATGAAATTTTAATTTCACACTGCATGGCTGACACGATGTCAAACGTTTGCCACATGATTATCGTGCACAAAGGCATTTATGATAGTTTTATGTTGACTCCCTACATATTTGTGTCATCTATAAAAAAAACTGCACAAGAAATGTTTTGTTCAATGTGTGTTTCACCTCTTTTTTTAAGCAAATGATTGAGAAAATGTGAATATACAATCGTGTGAAAGCGTTTTGAAAGTAAACAAGAACAGGATTGAATATTTGTAGAACCACCTTTAGCAGTGATAAACTGAAGTAATCATTTTCTGTGTGACTTTATCAGTCTCTCACATCATCGTCACTCTTGCCACAGCATTTTAATCCGACTGAGGTCTGGACGTTGGGTCATTATGTTATAGATTTGCTGCTGTGTTTGGGATCGTTGTCCTGTTGCATGACCCCGATTTCAGTCAGACAGACGGCCTCATATTTGACTCTAGAATACTTTGGTGTGCAGAGGAGTTCGTGGTCTGATCGACTGGATGACTGCGGCGACTGTGGCTGCAAAAAAAAGCCCCGGTCATTAGCCCTGCACCACGGTGCCTGACTGTTGAAATGTGGTGTTTGCACTAATTTGCACTAACACGGTGCTGAGCATTACAGCTAATTCTCACCACCACCTGTCTTGTGGTTTGTTCAAATGCAACTGTGCAAACGTAAACCGTGCTGCTGATGTTCTTTTTAGAGTGAAGAAACTCCTGCCAACCCTTCTAAAGAACCTCTACCTGTTCAGGCTTTTTCTAATTATAGTATTTTGAACTTTTGAACATGAAGCATGCTAGCTGAGGCCTGTGGAATCTGACATGTAGCTCTTTTGATCATTGCACAGTCTGACCTTGGGGGGTGAATTTGCTGCCATGTCCACTCCTGGAAAGATTGACTAGTGTTTGAATGTTTCCCACATGGGAATAAACTTGTGAATGATGGACTTTAAATTGTTTGGAAATGCCCTTATAACCCTTCCAAGGCTAATGGGCAGCAACAGCTGCTCCTCTAAGATCAGTGCTGACATCTTTTCTCCTTGGCATTGTGTTAAGACACACCTGAATGCTCCAGAATAACAAAGTGACAGAGCGTCTACTTTCATAGACACGCTCAGACATTTTTTCACATTGTTATTATTAAGTCTCGATATGTAAAACCATTTCCCATGATGTTATCTTGTTTACTTATAAAACCAATTTCAGTTAAAAAGGAAAAAGATAACATGCATTAAACACATCAAAGGCTTGTAAATGAGAATCTGTGCGTCTCCTCTTTGTCTGATAATTTCTGCTATTTTCCTCGCTGTAGCCTGCTGAGAGTCCTCAAGCTGAGCCCATGGCTACGTTAAAGGTTTTCGTTTTTTTAACGCTGTACAGAGCGAATTGGGATTCTTGACATTGAAATTATATCTTCAGACACTGGCTGCTATTCTTTGGTATTCCTACCCCATCAGATTTACTTCATCACGCAATCCTTTGTCATCTATCTAATGCATGACTGCGTCTCATGGTGAGTGAAAGCCTGGTGTGCCTAATTGTGTCTCGTGACTGGAGAAAAGGTAGCAGGTCGTTTATAGGGCCAAATAAATTGTCTCCAGATTTGTATACATTATAACCGTTTCTAAAAGCCAGTATTACAGGATAATGTAATATGTTCTCATAATGTGCATCTTATATCAGCCATAAATCACTGTGGTGTCACTCTTTTATTTATTTATTTCCTTATTTTTTTATCTCCAAAAGATGATGCCTGCGTTTTTATCCCAAGAAAGAAAAGTAGCAGCTCATTAGAATAAAGAATAGGCACATGGAAAGTTTCATTGGGAAAGTGGCTTTCAATAAAAATCCACAGAGGTTGTTTATTAAAACAAATGCTCTGAATGTCTCCCTCGTAAAAAGCTGCTCTTCTAATGGCTAAGAAGTTCAAGGATTAACCAGCAATCAATCTCCTCAGTGCTTTAGCTCAGCGGAGAGTAATAACACCTTAATTAGACTTCCGAGACATTTTTTTCCCTCTGTCTTGTATGCCATTAAGCCCAATCAGTGTTTCTGGCTAATTTTGATGTTAGTCTAATGGCATGGCCGCATGTGTTTACACAGCTAATTCAGGTCAACATACGGAAGTATATTATGCTTTCATTATAGCAATGATTTGTTTGTTTATTTTCTGGTTAAGCAGGGGCTTGTAAGGAGTTAAGTAAAGAAGACGTGAGAGGAAGATGAAAGAAATAAAGGCAGACAGCGAAAAATGGAAAGGCAGAGAAAATCAAATCAGAGGGGAGGACTCTGCTTTTAAGCGAATTGACAACCTGAAGAAGGGGGAAAACGATGAAAACAGTAAAACGTTAATATTGCTTTTGAAAAGCGGTGCCATCTTCCAGCTCAGGTTCCAACAAAGTCTGGGAACAAACAGGAAAAATTGACTCTGACAGAAGGAGATTAGCCTCAGTGCTCCTCTGTGAGTAGAGCAGCCAGCTGTGGACAGAGCGGGGTCAGCCTCCAACTCCAGGAGACCCAGCAGCCAGGACCCTTCCTCCTGCTTTTCCTTTCACCTCTCCTCTCCTCCCCACTCCACTTCTCCTTCTGCAAGCTTCAAGCCTCCCCTCTGTGCATGCCTGGCTTCCTGCATGGCATCCTGTCTGGACTTTTTTTTCTTTTTTCAGCTGACCCCAATCTCCTCACATCCCATCACCATCTCTCTGGGAAGGTGCCTTTAGGGGTCACGCATGGCTGAGTTTGTTGTCACACCGGTTGGCGTCTTTCTTTCAAAGCCCAAAGAAGGTGGACCGTCTCCGTCCTGCTGACTGTGGAAGGCTGCGGTTTGGGCCAGAGGTCCTGAAGATGCAGTTGTGACTCTTAAATTAGGTGTTCAAACATAAGAGGATTGCGGTAGCAGAGATGATGTGGGTGTCAAAGTTCCTTCAGTGTAAATCAAAAAGTAAAAAAAAAAAAAAAACCCTAACCAGCTCTCAGACAGAGGTTGTGCAAAGTATAATTTTGGTATTGGCAGAGAAGTATTCAGCTACAGTGATATTTTTCCCTGAGTTTGTTTTTATTTTGCAGGTTTTTCAACGGTGCAGTATAATATGTATCTACACCAGCACCACAGTTTCTTCTGACAGCATTCAGAGCTTCTTCCCAATTTGCATTCTGTGAATTTTCATAGTGATAGTAACTTTCCTCCTGTCAGACTGATGTAACTGTTTGGATTTTAAGGCCAGGGGACAATTAAAAGATGAATTAAAAGTGTTAAAAGATGTTGCCTGCTTAGTGTTTCAACATTAAACAATAAGAATGGAACATTTTGAACCTGGTAACAGATGATCCAGTACTTCCAGGAGGCTGAAGGGGAGCTCTGGTGGCCGCCAGTGTATTTGACCTTGTAAAGATTAAGCTAACATGATTTAGAATATCATGTGAGACACATTTAAAGCAGCTTTGAGGATGTGATTTCATTTTAATTTGGGGTGGAGCCTCAGTAAAAATCCAAACCCAGCGACAGGAAACATGCTGTAATCACTTTGTCAGAGGATTATGAGAAACAATAACTCAAAGCTGGCCTTTGATCAAACTTGTGGATGGGAGACTGTCCTTGGTGGTGCAAAAACAAACATCACCCCCGTGTCCCATAACTCTCTCAGTGTTACTGAGGTTGGTGATTTGATATTGATTAGGTTTCATGAGAGCCCACAGCTCATCCAGCTTATTGTTCCATAGGAGGGTGTGGAGGTTTGTCCTCCCCTTGAGTCTCGTGGCAAGTTGCATTATCAGTTGCTGTGGCTGTCCTGCGTTTAGAATGCGACACAACAAAAACAACTCTGTGTACCTCCTGATAAATCAATTATTTCCCTTGGCCCCGTGGACTGAGGTAAAACATGCGGTGATGGGTGTGTTTGTAATTAATCCGCCTGTCGCAGTAGAAGTAACAAGAGCAGAGTGGAGTAGAATTCACACAGCCCTCAAATGCGCTGACACTTCAGCTTCGAGAGCATCAGGCTAATGAAAAGTATATGCTTTAGCTGCTCTGCTAACGAATAAAATCTGCTCATCATTTATTAATGTTCACTTTTGCAGGTGCTGATTGAGGCAACGGTTTCGAAGGAGCGGCGAGGCTACATTGCCATAGATGACATCATGGTGCTCAACTATCCTTGCTGTAAGTGGATTGCGGTCACAGAAGATGCTGCAGGAAAGAAATATTTAGCTTTTTTTCTTGGGGTGGGAGTAAAACAGATTTTAAAGCAGCATGAAATATAAATGTGATGAGGAGAAGAGTAATGGCTGATTGACCTTTTATATTAGTACGACAAGCTCTCCCGGGGCACGCTGTGACAACAGCGGCACTATTAAGACACTGTGACACCCAAATGCCAACACTCCCTTCCACCTGAGAACACGCCTGTCGTTTTGCCTCCAGCACGCTTTGACAGGCAGATTTATTTGTTAATCAGTGTAATCTCAAATTCAGTCTCTGTGAAGGCTTTCGCATTTTCTTGCACTTAACTCATAAAGAGGTTTTCTACATTTAGCTGCATTTTAAAGCTTAATGAAAACGCCTCCTGTTCAGGGTTGTTTTTTTGTTGTTGTTATAATAAACAGCTCCCAGCAGCACAGGGCTTTTTGTGTCACTGGTGAAAAAGTGAAAGGAGCATTTCAGTTTTCTTCCTAAACTTGACAACTTTGTGTGAAACAAGAGTATATAAATAGTATATAAAAGATGGACATTATTGCTTTTTTAAAAAACCTGCTAGGACTGTCATATTGTCAGGTTTTCCGCTACAGTTATGTTGACCAAACAAACTCTTGGTGATATCTCAGCAATTTTCTCCAAACTCCAGCAATAACAGGTAGGTTTGTCAGGTGCTGGTAGTGTGTTATCTGTCTTCTAGTTCAGCTTGATTTTATGGATCAGCTGCAGCCGCACACTTTGCTGGGAACTGGAGTTCTTCTTTCCTATTATGGTAACTGGCAATCAGTGTTGAGCTGCGGCACTGCCACCTTCTACGTTGGTGTGTACACCAAATTACAGTCACTGCTGCTGGATTATTTCTAGTATTATCAAATGTGTATCACTTACTAGGTCCCTGAAACGACTGTGACGAGTGAATCACATCAAGGTTTGTTTAGGTTTAAGGCACCGATGACATTGGCACTAGCTTTAGTTTTCAGGCTTGGATACATCTTTTATATGCACTACTGTGTGAGTGATTAGCAGTTCTCCAGGCTTTATGAGGGTCTCAGTTTTTCTTTGAACATTTTGTACCTGACTGTTTTCTGAGTTTTTGTTTGTAAGCCACTTAACCCTGACCTATGACTCATTTAAGCACAAAAAAGGCAACAACACACAAGATGAATCTGTTACACATAACAAACAACATTGCAAAAGAACCCGTTTTAAATTGCATCTTTAGGCACTTTGTTACTAGAAGCCTGTTGCAAAAACAACATTTTTTTTCCCATTTTTTTGAATCTCTGAAAGTTGAATCTCTGAAAAGTGACAAAGAGAACAGTTTGACAGATATAATATAGCATTTTTGTACCAACAAAGTGATTTCCAAAGAGCTATTAGCTGAAAAAGTAGCAGGCCAAAAAAAAAAAAAACTATCTACAGCAGATAAATGTTATCTGAAATTCACATCATCATAAAAAAAAATCTAACAGAGGACCTGAGAGATGCATCTGGCCCTTGAGTTGATCCATCTACTGCTCACTGAAGTCTCACCAGAAATGGTGTCAGTGGAAGGCGGGCAGTCGAGAAGTTGTTTTTAAGGAAGAGGAAAAGGGAGAAAAATCTGAGGTATGGTAAAATAAAACAGTGGCAACAGGTCTGATAGATGATAAATCCAGTTTGGAAATTTTTGGTTCAAGTCATCATTGTGCATGGAGGAGCTCAGGAGTGAGCTGCAACAGTAAGTGTCTACAGTCACATGTAAAACACAGTGGAGGCTCATCATGATTTGGAGCTGTGGTGTTGGGGATGTTGCCAAAACTGACAGAAATATGAACATAGAAAAGTACAGTCAGATTTTGATCCACCATGTAAATACCATCTGGAAAGTGTGTGATGAGCAATGACTTCATATTTAAACACGAAAGTGATCCCAAACACACTGGCAATGCAGTAAAAGAACACCTGGATAGAAAAACACCCAATCAGTCATGGATTGGCCCCTCAGAGCTTAGACCTCACGGATGTTGAAGCAGTGTGGGATCATTGGACAAAACAAAATGCAGCCTACATCCAAACAGCATCCATTTTTGTCCTTAGAGAAGCCGGGAGAGCTATTCCTGAAAACTAGATCATGAAATGACATGAAAGCTGCCTGAGAAATAAAGGTGGTCACACCAAATATTGACTTTCAAGCTTATTAAAAAGTACTGGCTCTGTGTTTGCCTTATATACTGTATTAACATGTATGGTTTCACGTTTAAATCAATTACAGCACCTATTTCCCATTTTCAAGCAAAATATAAAGAAATGAGTGGTGGCTCAAGACTTTTACACAGTGATGTACAGTCTTTGTATAAAACGTATTGGCTAAAGCTCCCGAGCTTAATACTCGGACAAAGTCTCTCCCTGTCACTTACACACTCCCTGTACAATCCCACTGCTGAACACAAGGGCTCTTGTCAGCTCATTTAACACCTGAGCCACGCTGCTTTCATGTGACTTATATACCTGACACAAGCTTGAAGGATATTTTACTCTCAGGGGGATCTCTGTTATATCCCTGTTTTTTATTTCTTTTTTTTTTATTCTTGCTGAGTTGGACACCTCGGGGATTTCACGTTACAGAGGATACCACCAGGAGCTCTATTACGTGAACATTGGCTGTAAGATTGCTTTGTACCCATACTGTATGCATATCACCCAGTCAGACACCCTTTTACTTCCAGACATAGCAGATGGCAACTTCTGAATGCTCCCACTGTGGTCATTAAATAATTAAGACTCTCATCAAGACCTGAACCTGCCTTATGATGTGGCACATAGCCAGCCTGCCTTACTTGGCAGCAAAGAGTGTGGAGGAAGAAAAGGAGTGAAAAGACATTAAGTGTTGCATACAAAAAAACAAAAACAAAACTAAGAGGAACTCTCGACAAAAAGTTCCTTTCTGGGAATACTGGATAAAGCATGGTTGACATTTTTGTTGTATTCTCCTGAGTCTTAATCCTTGACTCTGAAACCAGTGTTGCAGCCCAATGAAATATTTATCGCGCTAAAGAGTCCCGAGGATAGGATCTGACACATTTAGCTGTATAACACTGCAGTCGGTTCCAAATGCAGAGCTTGTTCTTTTCTATTCACACTCATTTCAGTGTTTGTTTACTGTATATTTGGCTCGCATGAATTATGAATAAACCTTAGGAGGGAAAGTCACTCAAAGGAAACATGGCCACATGTGGGGTACAAATGCAAGCACTCTCCTTTACTTACTGTATACAAACAAGATGAAGAAATTGTCATCTTCCTCGCAGCTAGATGGGAACAGAGTCTTGTGCAAAACCAGGCAGAAGATGAGTGAGACGCAAACATTTGCTTCTCCCCGATGCTTCGGCTTCACAGCAGCCCTGCATTCTCCTCCTGTCAGTCATCTGGAGTGACATGTCAACTTTTGCTACCCCATCTCTCAGAGTTGGCAGGCAGTGCTGCCAGCATTTACCCAGTGATTTGGCTCTGCAGGGGTTTGGTACTCATTGCTCTATTGTTAATCATGGAGTTGGGTGAGAGGGCTACTCCCACACACTGACTCATTGGCGGCTCCCGCGCAGGTTGCTGGGACATTATTAGTCGAAATGCAGAGAGCCAATGCTCACTCGCTGGCTTTTCTTCCACAGATTCACTCCCACATTGTGCTTATCTATAGATCCCCTCTAATCTGATGTTGTTTGTAAGTTATTTTAGTGGTGGGCTCTGAGCGAGCCACTGCCCACATTTGCATTTACAGAATTTCCATCGCGATAAAACTATATACGCAGCGCTGAACACATTTATTACACAGCCTGCCATAAAAACAAAGAAACGGGAATATTTTGGAAACTGGTCAAAATTCACTGGAGAATTCACCTGTTTATACCCAAATTTGAGCCGACGCACTCGACTTCTCTGTGAAGTCACAGATTAATTGAGCATAACGTTGAGCAAAACTATCTGCATGTTCAGGAACACAAGTAAATAACTGTAATTTGGCATCTTAGATAATAATAATTATGTGCTTTACTATTTTTTCAGCATTTCTGTAAAAAGCTAAATTTGAAAATTGATGGATAACAACAATAATTCATGCCAAAACAACAATTTTAGCATTAAAAATATCAGAGCTTTGTACATACTGGTGGATTAAACATTACAGAAAGAAAATGGGCATCAGTGGCTTTAACCTCAACAACACTCAATTTCTATAAATGTTTTTCTTGTATTTTATATCGTAATTACATTTTTTTTGAAAATGCAGTGCAAATTTAGACTTAATTTTGACCGTGGAGAAACTGGAAACGAAAATCAATTCTTACCCCTCAGCCTGAAAAGGCTGATGCAAACTGAATGAACCGAATGAAAATATGTGAATAAATTGCTGCCAAACTACTGATAAACTGATTTCTGTTTTTAATGGTTGCCCTTCATAGCCGGTCAGTTTCATACAAAGTCCTCCAAACTGCTGTTTCAAAACAGAAAAAGCCTGAAATTTCTGTTCTTGCATTTAAAAAAACAAACAAAAAGAAAACCTGGATCAAAACATGTTATGTTAATCTGAAGCTGACTTGCACTGTGAACGGTTGAAAGGTAATGTTTTTTGTTTTTTTTTTAATCTCACAGTGGGTCTCTCTCTCTCTGTCTGTCTCTTTAGATAAGGCGCCACACTTCTCCAGGCTAGGAGATGAGGAGGTCAATGCTGGGCAAAATGCTACTTTCCAGTGTGTTGCTGCTGGAAGGGCATCAGAGGCTGAGAAGTTCCTGTTGGAGGTTAGTGCTTCATGATGGTGTTTATTGCCGAAAGTAACCTGTGTTTACTGTGTGTCAGCTTGTTGTATTTTTACCTTCAACATGGCAACAGTACAAAGGGAAGACTTCTTTTAATACTAACTCTAGTGCCTAATGTTACAGACGGATTATTAGACAAGGCTCCCTGGGCACGTGGGACACAGTAAAAGTCATCACACACTTTCCTATGAAGAGAAAACCATCCTGCACACAGAAAAAGACACATGCGACCACAAACATTGTGTCAATTTTATTCAACTTTGCACCTTTTTCCTTGCTATCTGGTTATTTTGTTTCTCCTTGTTGTTATTTGATTGACTTTTCAAAAAAGAAATTTGAACATTCATTTCAAGTAGAAGCTATAGCCTACAGCCAGGAGTCCTGAGGCCTGTAGTGTGAAGTAAGATTTTATCTTATCAGGGCAACTTCAGGTTGAACCCTGGGTGTTTAGTACGACAAAGGCTGTGTTTTTTCTGTACTTTACCAGGCTATATCATGATGGTAACTTATGCTGTAGATTTCATATGCTCAGGAGCAGGTTATGTTCTAGATTAGAGATCAATTGGTATGAAATCACCGCCGACCCAAAAATAGTGTCACCGATCCTGGAAGCTCTCGGAGTGCGGATAGTAGGAATATCTAAAGTTTTACAGTCGTGTCTTAAGCCTTTCCCTGATGAGCATCAATAATAAATGCAGATTCTTGGACCTTGATGTTTTTTTTTTCTCCAGTTGGCTGCAAACAACTTTATGTTATTATTAACATTATTAATGAGGGTGTGTTTCCTCTCACAAAAAATCACGCCACTCATTTGTCTGTATTATTTGAGTAATTGGTTCATAATTTTCTAACATTACAGTTTTAGCTTTTAAAATTAGTTACTTTGCACCTTTTAAGTGAATGCACAGTGGAAACCCTGGGTTAGGATAAGTCAATCCACGTAATGGAAATATATCATAGGTGTGTTGATCTTTGTGTTTAGTGATTTGTCCGCAGGTCTGTGACTCATGGTTAAGTTTTCACATGCTGCTACAGTTTACTGCATACATAACTGTCACGTCTCTCTCTGTGTGTCATCATTATATGTAACCCAGACGTATTTATCCTTAAATAAAGATGGTACAAAAGGCTGAATGCTATAAAGGCTATGAAGGCCTTGAAGTGTTTTCACTCCGCTGCCTCTGAAAAGTCGCCCTGCTGATAGGATCGCTGTGTTCTTGTCCTTTTGCACTGTATCTATTCACATGATGGTCACCATTTGAATCCATGTGAATGAGTATTTTTTTTTAAATTCTTCTCTTCTCGAGGCCCAATTAAAGACCTATTGTAGGGATTCATAATTTGTCCATCTCATGCATACAGTTAGCATGTAGCTACATATTCAGTGCTTTTGAGCATCTTACCACCCACTGCAGCCAGCATTAATCAAAGCTGACCCAGGAAAACATTCTGCATTGTTTGAAAATGGGAGACGTGTGATTTAGGTAATTGCTGTATCCTCATCCATACCTCTCTGATCAAGCCACCCATTTAGTCAAACACAAAGATGAAGGCAAATGCGTTGGGTAATTAGCTGGCATAACCCTACAGACGCCTACTGTAATGAGATCTTCAGGCCACTGGAATGCTTTTTTTCCCCTCCTACCTCCCTTCTACCTTCAGCTGTCCTCTTCCATTGTCTGTTCCACACATGCACCTCTCAGGCTGTTTTCTGTTGTTGTGCCCTTTCGTGTTGATTGTGTCTGCAGTACCAGCTGTACCGCAGTCTCAACCGTACACGCCTGCCAGATTAACAGATCGTTTTTGTCGTTTCCTCGCCAATTAGCTATAGCCAGATTGTTTATGTAACATGAAGTGATCGCATGCTATTTGATTTACTCTGATTTATTCTGATTTCTGCTGTCTCCTTTCTGTAATTCACCGGCCAAGTAACAAAAAAACAGGAATAGAAAAGATGCAGGAAGGATACATTACTGTATTCTTTTTTCTTTTTCCTGCGGTTACAAGATTTGTTGACTTTTTAACCCTAATCAGGGGGTGTGTGTTTATGTGTTTGTTTGCAAGACTCGGCCTGAGGTTCCTGTGGTCTGTGGCTTTTTGAAAGCCTCAAATCAGCAGTATGACAGAAGCCCAAATGGCCCAGTGTAACCCAGAGGTCTCGCTGCTAATCACAGTACGCTCACATTCTCATTCTGTGAAAGCTGTCGGATCAAAAGTACTAGAATGATGATTCATGTCCACTATTTCACACGCGGAGAGAATGGCCTGAAAACATGAGGAAAAAAATGCCAGAGCCAATGTGTTATTCTGAAACAGTGAGGATGTGACAGATGCTAGTGGTTTTAATGGTGTGGAACAAGTGAGAAAGGCCTCTCACAGTGCAACAGCTAGGTGCATCATGCAACATTCACTGGAGCCTCTTTTTTCTCTGTCACAGTTTTTTCTCCACTTCCTACTTTCTGCCACAGCTCGCTTTTCTTTCCATTCTTCTTAGACTGAAACAAGCAGACATTTTTTCTTTTTTCTTTTTTTTGCTAAGACTGCTTAGGTGTGAATGCTTTGTTGTGTCAAACACATTAGCTTTACCAAGAGGAGCACTATGGACTCACTGTAGGCTCCTCTCGTAATCTTCTTATTTTATTTTATTTTATTATTCATATTATTATCTGTGTGAATATTTTGCTAAAGTAAACAGGGCGTGAAAGACTGGAGAAAAAAGTGGAGGAATAGAGAAAAGAAAAGGGGGGGTGAGGATGAAACAGACAGACGTGTGTGTGTGTGTGTGTGTGTGTGAGATCATTTGTGATGAAACATACTTGAAAATGTGGGTCACACTCCAACCATGCCCCCCCAAGAGCTAGAGGCAGACAGGGAAAGACCCTGGAGGTCCTGGATGGAGCTTCTACAGCCAAGGGCAAGAGTGCCAGAGGACCAGAGGCAGCGGCCAATCATCCCGGCCAAGCTAAGGATGGGGGCCCCAGACTCCGGGCCCCCGAGAACCGCTTGACACCCAGTGGAGCCTCCACCGTGCAACGTAGAGGCCCACCCTTAATAGCAATGTGGGGATCAATGCTCAGGGTAGACCCAGGCCTAGCCCTACACACACAGAAGCTGCACATAGACACACAAGCACATACACCCCATCCTCTGAAGTGCAGACAGATTGGTGCCTCTCAGAGCCAGCAGCGGCCATTTCTGCACTTTCGTGCCTCTTCATGCCATCATTCAAGTATTATCTGTGCTAAAGTGATTAAACTTTGATGCATTAAAGTCCATCTGTCTCCCGATTGTAACTGTTGAACGGTTAAATGTTTTGCTTCAATAACATTGCACGCTAAGGACAGATGAAGTCGAAGATGGGCTCCATTAGGGCACGACGCTCATGACATATATTACCCCCGTAATCACTATTATTTTAACAAGATTTCATTTGTTTTCATTAAAGCACGTCTGATCGTAATATTGCATGATTAAATCAGGGAGATGGTCCTTCCATTCTAATGAAATTGTACACAACTGGACGATTCTTCTTTTTAATCACACAGCTCTAACTAGAAGTGACCCAGATAGCAATAATTTGTGTATTGCTACATTATTAGCTTTGTGTTCCAGGAGTTCACGGTGCGGTAACTGTGGAGGCAACCATAAAGGTTGTTAGTGTGTGTGTGTGTGTCCCGTGCTAATAGGGAAGGCTGGATGTTGTGTGCAAGGGTGTTTATAATAAAAACATCAGTGTATGAAACATAATGAACCCGTACTTAAAAGACAAAGTAAACAAAGTACCAAAACAAGGGAGCAGAGGCAAATAGAAGGCAGGAAAACTAAAAGAAGGCAAAGACTCCTTATACACCTAAACTCACCAGCTGCTTTATTAGCTATGCTTGGTCAGCTTCTTGTTACTTGAATGGGATTTCGAATGTGCCAGTCTGGCACCATTTGCTGGTTGTTTGGCTGGTCTGAGTATTTCAGAAACTGCTGACCTCTGTTGATGTCAGAGAAGAATGCCCAGACTGCGTGATGGGAGGACAAGAGCAACTCAAAATAAAAGCTACTTACAACCAAGATATGCAGAAGAGCATCTCTGAATATGTTAAACGGGGTACAGCAACAGAAGACTACCGTGGGTGTGACTCCTGTCACTTAAGAACAGGAAACTGAGGCTGCAATTTGCACAAGCTTAAATTGAACAAGGGAAAACTGGAAAAACACTGACTGGTTGGATGTGTGGAGCAACATTCAGATGGTAGGGTCAGAATCTGGTATAAGCAACATGAATGCATGGATCCATCTTGCTTCGTATCAATTGTTCAGACAGGTGGTGGTGTAATAGTATCAGGGATATTTTCCTGGCACACTTTGAGCTCTTTAGTACTAAGTGATTTTCATAACCTGAGTATTATTACTGACTTTTTATGACTACAGTGTACTGATCTTTGGATGGCTGTTTCCAGCAGGTTAACGCACAGTGATACAAAGCGAATATCATCTCAAACTGGTTTCTTAAACATGACGATGAGTTCACTGTACTCAAATGGCCTCCACAGTCACCAGATCTCAATCTAATAGAGCACCTTTGGGATGTAGTGGAACAGTAGATTCTCAACTTGGATATGCAGCTGACATATCTGCAGAAGCTGTGTGATGCTATTTTGCATTAATATGGACCCAAATCTCTGAGGAGTGTTTTCAGGAGCTTGTTTTACTGGTGCCAGAGTCAGAAGTCAGAAAAAAACTGCAAAAGTTGCAGAGTATACCTAATGAAGTGTCTGGTGATGGTATATGCTATAACATTACAGGCAAACATCCCCAGCTATTCTGGGATTCCGCGTGGATATGACACAAACATGCTCTGTAATACTAATACTGTCAACGTAAAGCATACAACTCCATGCAGATTGAACATCTGCATATTTTTCATGCCTTTAAATAACTAATATTTGCTAAAAATCAGTTTTAATTAGTGAGTCAGTCAGCGAGGTCTTCCATCAGCTGAAGGGACACTCCGCTAATTTTACAACTGAAGGTCAGTTTCCAGTCATGGTGAGGGCCACTCAGTATGTGACAGCCTTTGTCTTCTGCCGTCCTTCAGGCCTTCGTTACAAACTGGGACACTGAGTCTGAAAGATGTCGAGGCTGTAATGGAGAGACTTTATCATGTTGCATTATCCCATGCCAAAGATCTTGGGTGTTGACAACTTGACTCATGCTAAAGAGTAACAGTGAGGACATCTCAGCCTTTAATGCCTGCCTTTTTTTTGCATAGCTCTAGATTTTAAAGACTCTGACTACGTCATTCAGAGTTATTATGCATTTGTATTTTGTGAATTTTTCACACTACTACAGAAACATCTACACTTATGTGCGTGCGGGTGTAAAAGACTGTGTTGTTGTGCTGTATAAGATGATTTATATCTGTGTGCGTGTGAGAGGGACAGGTCATGGCCTATCCTGGTTTCTCTGACCATGTCCTTTTCTGCTTTCCAGAGACACAATGGGGACATTTTAACAATGGCGTCAGTCAAGCACCTGAGCCATCGGCGCTTTGTGGTGTCCTTCCAGCTCGACAGCGTCCAGCGAACTGATCAAGACCTTTACCGCTGCGTCACTCAGTCCCCCAGAGGCTCCGGAGTCTCAAACTTTGCTGAACTCGTTGTCAAAGGTAAACATCCTTTTCCCTTTTCTCTGACTGTTATTATTGTTTTCTTTTAGCCTTCATTCTCCATCATCCCAGCCGTTATGATTTCCTGCTTTTCTTGGACACAGTACAGTACTGCATGTGATTGAAAGAGGAATTAAAAAGGAAACAGATACCCACAGGATATCATTTGTGCATGACTGCGAATGTCTCGCGCATTTATTTCTAATTTATTTCCAGAGAAATTTCTTATTCACAATTTGTATGCTACAGCGACCACTTGAAGGCTTTTTAAGTGATATCCACAGTCTCCCTGGCATGTGCGGCATCCTGAGCTGTAGTTGCCAGATAGACTGCCATACTGAGCTCTTCAGCTCTCTGTCAGAAGGCAGTTCACTTGCCTGGGACTCCTGCAGCCCTTGTCATATCATGTAGCGCAGATGGTGACCTCACTACCATTACTCACTCCATCCCCACCGCCCAACACCACCGCTTTGACAGCATAGTAATGACATGGCTTGCGGGATGGTTTGCTGGCATAACAAACCCGAGCCCTCAGCAAAGTAAAGAAAGGAAAATAAGGATGTAAGGGATTCTCAATCCCCTTGTCCTCTACTGTATGCTCTTGTTATTACGTTTTTAAAGACCGAATGGAGCGCAAATGAGAGTGAGGACAAGCTCAAAAGGAGTTTTTAAGCCAAGCTAGCAGAGTGGCTCTGTGGATATCAGTGTCTGTCGCTTGGCTGGCTGATAGATTGGTGCAGTCCACCACTTTGGTGGACAACCGTTGGATGGGCTGCTGTGAATTTTAGCCAACAGTTAGGATCCCACCACGAGGAAGCCCCCTGCTTTTGTAGTTTTTTTAAAGTGCTGGGCACATGCATGAGATTGTCTTTTTTTTTTTTTTTTTTTTTTGCAGCACCATAATCTCAAACCATCCATCAACGTCAGCTGTATTTATTACGAGTTAGTGAATGTTAGGATGCTCACATGCTTAAATTACATTGTGAACATGGCACATATGAGCTTTGTAATGCCTCGCTTCCATAGTCCTTTTACTGATAAGACAACGTGGGTTGATTTTAGTGTCGCGATAGACTGATTTGCTGCAAAAAGGAGCCCCCTTTGCTAGAATGTTAACCAGCGAGTGCCAGAAAACCAGGACACAGCGAATGTACTTGACAGATGGCTGTGATTTGCTCACACTCTCAGTGAATAAGTGTCATTGTGTCTTTGTGGTTGTTGCTTTCCTTATTTTGTTATAATCAGGACAAAGATGTTCTTTCTGGCAAGGCTGCACCACCAGTAAATGCGATGGCCAGTTAAGTTATTCTCATGTCAGCTGCCTGAAACTCCATAACTGGCTGTGCTCTTCGCTGACTTAACAAGGCTTTCATAAATCCCTTTTCCCCTCTGCTCTGCTAAAAAGAGCCTAATCATCCCCTTAATGAGTTGGATCTACTTGTTTATATAATGCAGAAAGAATGCAAGAATCATAGTAAACCCTTCTACTGCTCCACGGAGGGCTCGGAGATAGCTACATGATTAATAAAACAGTTTTACCTTGTCCGTATGTCTCGGGCTATTGTTGTGGGCCCTGAGTTTATATGTGCACACATATTCTGTCCTAAGCATATTTGAAAATGCATTGGCAGAAACAAATGTTGCACCGACGAGGAGTCCCACATTAAACAGACACTAGCACTGAGAGCTTGCTTTGTTTTCATGGAAGTGACAACTATTAATGAACTAAGGGGGGGATACAATAAATTAGCAGATAAAATTGAGTCTACTTAAAGTGTGAAAGGGGTAGGTGAGATACTTTGAAGGTAATCGCACTGGCTGTTTGCCTGTTTGCTCAAATTTGGCCTTTTATTATAGATGCATCCATTGACAGTTAAAAGATGAGCTGCTGCAGGCACAAAGAAGCAATACAGAGTAGAGGTGAAGTTGTCGAAAAACCCACAGAGAGGAGGGCCATAAAAGACAGAGGCAGGGATGAAGGATTAGTCACAGCCACAGATCTAACTCTGATCTTTTCTCATGCTTTGTCCACATTTCTTTTGGCTTTCCCATCCCTCACTCTCACGGTTGCCTGTGTAAGTGTTTAGCGGCTTGGATCTGCCAGAAAGTGACGTGGGCAGTGGTATTAATTCTCAGTTTGCCAGGCTTTACCAGCAGTAATGTATTCAGCTCTTTCATCGTGGTGGCCGGCTGTCTGAGAAGTTGGAGAAAAACACGCACAGTAATTATTGTCTGAGTTACAGGGAATGTCACGTTCAATGCGACGCATGCACAGCTGTTTTTTGCATTCACCCCTTTGCTAAAAAATGTATGCAAGGCTCTGAACGCCCCGTTAATAGGTATGACTAATCTGCTATTTGAACATAGTTTGACCTGCTCACATCCTGCAGTCTCTGGAGACTCATTTAAGACTCAGTGGGCTTTAACATAGCCAGAAATCTATTTGCATACGCCTGATTAGTAAAATTAATAGCACAACTTTACCACCCTAGACTGTGCAGCAGTGCTGCCGGCCTGCCAGGAAGTGCTTTTATCAATACCAATGTGTTCTTAACCAGCAAAACGAGAAAACACTGCTTTTCATTTTCTCCGACAGTACCCCCATCCCCCATTGCGCCGCCTCAACTTCTGCGTGCTGGCTCCACTTACCTGATCATCCAGCTCAACACCAACTCTATCCTGGGAGATGGCCCTATTATCAGGAAGGAGATTGAGTATCGTGCCAGCCAGTCTCCATGGTCAGAGGTGCATGGAGTCAACATGGTCACCTATAAGCTGTGGCACCTGGATCCAGACACAGAGTATCACATCAGCGTGCTGCTGACTCGACCGGGAGAGGGCGGAACCGGCCCTCCGGGACCTCCTCTCGTGAGCAGGACCAAGTGTGCAGGTGACTAATAATTGTTCCCAAACTCATAAAAATGGGATTTTATGCTGTATATATTCTCTCTTTTAACACAGGAAGTGTGTTTTCTTTTAAGGATTTAAAGAAGATTAATGGGGTAAATGTACCAAACGATGACATAAGGAGCTAAACACACTCTTGAGGAGTGTATCATCCATACTGCACGGTACTCTCTGGAGAGTCCTTGTAAGCAGACAAAAATTGCTGCTAATCACCCAAAATTCATTTTGCATATCCCTGATATGCACACACATGATTGTGCTTCCCTTCTTGCAAAGCTTCAACCTCGGTTTACGTGTTTACTATTAAGCAGTACGAGTCCTTCCTGCTTGTGCCGGCTCGTTGATATTTTCCATGGCCCGCTACCTGTCACGCCACCTCACGTCGACGTGCCTCTTAGTGCGTGTGCACGAGACAATAAGAAGACGCTCCACTCGAAAGCTCCACGGGGAAGCTTTAATTTGAATAACAGATGAATGTCTGCCTTATCGTTAACATCTTGTTTATGCCAGTGTGCAGCTCTAAATCTTGTATGCTGTCATGTGTGAAGAGACGATGACAGTCTTGTCAGCTGTTTCCTTTTTGGAGTTGTTACAAAAGTGAGAACATTTCTTTTTTTAAACATCTTTTTTTTTTTTATTGGGGGTTGATATTGCGTGGAAATAGCTCACCAAACAACACGTTGTGTTTCTGAAAAACCTCTGAGGTATCTGCATTATTTAGGCAATGCAGTACCCCCGAGCAAACCATATGAGAATAAAGTACGTTGAACACTAATAAACTGTAAAGTGCGAGGCAGCTCTCATCCTCTACTTTAGCTCAGCTCAGTGAATTTCTAAATCAGATAGGCTTATACTTTTAATTTTGGCTATGATAATACTTGTAGATATGGCCCCTTCTTATGATGAAGCTGTTCTAATAAAGACCCTCAGCTCATTGTACTGATGCCCAACAGCCACACACTGTAACTTAAAGGAAGCTTACAATATGAGACTGCGCTGGTCACGATAATCTGCTAAAATTCAATCAGTGAGAAGCTGATAGACAAGTTCTGACTCAGTCGCTGCATATACTGCACTTATCTCATAAGAAAGGCATATTTGTTATCACTGGTGTTCTCTGAACTCTGTAGCCAAGGAGACTGAAAGGGACTTTATTTGCTGCCAGCATAGCAATATTGCTTTGACGGTTATTTAAAAGATAACAGCTGGCTGACTGCAGTAGCTAGTCTAAAAAGGGGCTTCTTTGGTATCTACTGGAGGAGACAGAAATTTTATTTGGCTAGTGTAACAAATGGACAAGAATCAGCAGGTGAAAGATTTTCTTGATTTGTCAGAAAACAGTGAAAAAAGCAGATTTTTTGGCTAATAATAACTCAACAATGTTGATTTCTGCCTACTGTAATTTAAAAAGAGACAGCTCATTATCATTTGACTCTTACAGTATTCAGACTAACACTTAACAATTCCCCAAATCATCATTTTTCTCTGGTCCATTTTAAGGCTCTGATCAAGCCTTTTTATTGTTTTTGTTCATTTTGTCCCGCTCGCGTTTCCCGTCTCTGTCGTTCGTCACTGTTCAGACACAGAACACCCAGGAGAAGAGCAGGGCCCCATAACCGTGCTCTCTTTTAAATATACATACAACAAACTGTGTTACTGCAGATGCACACACAGAACCTGCAGGTAGTCATTACCGCTGCCTGAATCTGCAATGTGTGCGATGTAGTCACAGACACACAAAATGGAGAGCTTTGTGTTACCCAAAGGCAGTCTGTGGATTCACGTCTTCCATGGTCATCACTCTTCTCTATGCCCAACGGTCTCTCCCTGCCACACACCATCCCTCACATATCTTCCTACCCTGCTCCACTAGAGCCTCCCTGGCCTCCTCTCCAATGACATATTAAAGCTACTCTCCTCTCCCAACAGCCAGAGACACCCCTCATTCATCAGGCGCCGTGAGTGAGCTCTCTGCCCTCCTTCGCCTATCCCCACACACCGCTCCGCAACAACGAGAGACAGAGAAAATTCCCAATAAAAAAAAAAAAGGTTGATAGCAAGAAGAAGTAGAGTAGAGGGAAGGCGATGGCGGTGGAGTCGGGGTAGTTTTTCAAAGTGAGAGTAAAAATGAAAGCGAGCGTGCGAGAGGTGAAGCGAGAGCGGAATCATAACGTACGGAAATTGCTTTCACAGTTGCTGCTATCGGTGTTTGTGAAAGTCACTAAACTCTGCCTTTAATGATGTATTTACATTTCAACCACTGTGACATTAGGTTGTTCAGCCATGTGTGGGGTAAGTAATACTGCTGTGTTTGCCGAGCTGTTAAACAGGGCATTTAGATGCAGCACTAGTTCAACACAGAGGAAGTGTAGGTGAAATTAATTTGGCCCATCAGTGTATCTTGTACATATATATACGTGTGTGTCTGTGTGTGTTGTGGGGGCTTCATTTGATTGGCTTTTGCATGACACAAATCAGTGTTTACAGTTCTGACACGTGTGTATTTTGTTATACACTTCAACACTATGAATCTCCTCCTGGTGCGTCTCACATTCTTGACCCTTCAGTAGCTCTAATAACCGGCTGTCTCCCAGAGTTCCCCTGACCCAAACCTTCAAACCATCTGGTGCACGCCACCCCTGCTCACCCTGCATGCTTCTGCTGAATCCTGAATACAGACAGACGCACATGCACTCGCTGCTGGCCCGATTACATTTAAGTATGAGAAAATAGATCGGCGGGGTTGCTGTTGTTGTTGTGGTTTGGTTTCGAGGAAGGTTGTAATTATCCGGTGAACAGAAGGGATATTTTGGACCCTCTTTTGTATTTAGGAAGTGAATTTCCTCTCCCGAAGCCGTGTCTCACCACCGTGACTAATCTGGCTCTTTCATGGTGAAGCATGTTGGCTAGCCGGCTGCGCTGTGCACATATACATCCTCGTGGTGGCGAGCCATCCTAGCGCCGCTGCTGTAAAACTAATGGCCGTGAATGTGAACACGGTCTCCACCTGGCTCCGATGGTCATCCAGGTGTGCCTGATGAGCCATTGCTGTGATTATCAGCACGGTGCATTAGCACAGCTTGAAGCCCCTCAAGTAAACCACAGAGGAGAGGCAAGCGTTTGTACTGCAGGTGGTCCCCAAACTATGCTAATGGGCTTCCACCTGCTGCTGGGTCACTGAACCTTCTGGAAAGCCCCTGCCCGTGATGCTTTTGGTCTGTTAGAGGGAGCCAACGCTGGAGCCCGACTAAAATTAGGCACATTAGGAACACAAGTGCTTTGCCTTACTTGGCATGTCGTTTATCATGTCTTCCATTCAGAGGCAGAATTCCCTATATGGGCAGATTTGGATTTCTGTGCACCAGGGTGTGAGTGAATGTCTGTATAACACAATCTATACTGCTGCTGTCCCATGCTACAATTTTAGAGGAAGTAAACCAGAACCAATCACATCTTCTCTAACTTCCAATCTCCGTTCATCACCACGGTGCTGTGGGCTTGCGTCCATGTTGGGACGGCTGCAGTTTTCATGCCACGGGGTGCCAGGGAACGGGTGCCCGTGGCATACAGACAAATAAGACGAGGCTAGGGGAAGGGGCTGGCACAAATGTCCACTTTGAGAAAACCCATAATGAGCACACTGTGGCCGCTTTGGTGGCGCTTTCATCAACTCAGCAGTTAAATGCCTCTCTTTATTTAGCTCCCAGACTGTGCAGACTGTCAACTGCACCATCAAGACAATCCTCAGTCACAATGAACAATGGTACATTAACATTTCTTACTGGGTGCAGTCTACTACGGTGCGATTACCGTGCCCACCCATTTATCTACCGTCACATTACTCTGGATGAGGTTCAGATCAATGCTCTGTTCATATTTCCATCTACCCTGAGATGCCAGATAGCAAATTAAAAGAGAAAGTTGGTGATTGCAGAGACCTTTAGTATAGATTGGAACTGTCATAAAATCTCCACTGCTCTAGCTAAGTGTCTCAGACAGTCTGGAATATATATATATATGTACATATGTATGTGATGTCTGTTTGTGTGCCTGTGTGTCCTTGCACAAGTACAGAGCACCTTTTGAATCCATTTTCTCAGATAATACTTGTCTTAATGCATTAGCCCCTGCTCAGTGATGCATTAGCCACTTTATTTAAGTTCTCTGCACTAATCTGTGCTGCAGCGAGAATCCCTCTGAGTGTGCAAGTCAGCGAGGGAATGAAGACCTTGGCCAGTAACCTCAAACTCCACTGATCTCTTGCTGTACCCGATATCTTTGCTGTCATTCCCTGCCTCCCTGGCCCATTACTCATCGTGCCCTATTAAAAGAATAAAGCCATACAATGCATTATGTAGCATATTGCTTGACAAAAACGGCATTGATTGTGTTAATAATTTCCACTGATAAATACCTCCATTGATACGGAGGATGTCCTTGGCTTAACTTGGCCTTGCTTCAGTTTCGGACGTCCTCCCGAACACTGGCTGGTCTGTGCCTCTGGGTATAGAGGCTCTCTGTATCTTTCAGTGAGCAAATAAATTCAAGGGGAATATCACAGACGCAGCTGTTGTTCTTTTAGTACGAGTTAGAGAAAGTCGGGGTTAACCCGCCAGTGACCAGAATTAACTCGGTGCCTTCTAAAAATATGGACCGGGCCACAGCGATGACCCGTCAGTAACACTGACCAGCGGAAGTGAATGCTCTTGTGTTTTTTGTATGTGGATTAAACCTCAGGGCGAAGGAGTGAAACTACTGCATGACCACTTTGCTCTGCGGTAGGGGAAAGGGAGGAGACTGGTGGGAGTGCAACAGCAACCCGCGGCCTGTCCGATTAATTAGCGCAATTGGTGTGAGTTCCTGTTCTGCCATCAGGGATGTGGGTGTGTTGTGCTGGCAGCAAAATGACCTCTGCACTGTGGCAGGGCAGTATGGCGGCACGTAGAAGAGGAACAGCTTGAAAACTGCCCGGGTGGTCCTGTTATATTAGTAATGCAGGCTATTTGCTGGATGTTCTGTCAAAAATCCAATATTTCACAATAAAAGCTTACCTGTGTCTTGTCCGTATCTCTCATATCCTTTTCCTCAATCTCTCACAGAGCCCATGCGCGCATTACGGGGACTCGCCGCCACAGATATCCAGCCCAGGCAGTTGTCCCTGCAGTGGGAGAATTTGGCGTTCAACCTGACACGCTGCCACACCTACTCAGTGTCCCTGTGCTACCGCTACACCATGGCGGGAGGAGGCGGCGGCCACAACACCACCGTACGCGAGTGCCTTGCAGTGGAACACAATGCCTCACGCTTCACGCTGCGTGATCTGCCACCCTACCATGCCATCCATGTCCGTCTGTCACTGGCAAATCCAGAGGGGAAGAAAGAGGGCAGAGAGGTCACCTTTCAGACGGAGGAGGACAGTAAGTCCCAGAAGGAGATTACAGAAAAGACAGTAGATAGATGGTAAAAGACGGAGCGCAGAGAAACTAAAACCGAATAGAGCCACTGGATGAATGCTACACATTCAAGGTTCACTACCAGTTTATTAGATCTGCAGCAAAGTGCAACATTAATATCTGATCAAATGTTTCTTAAAGTTCTAATGATTTCAGTGAAACTGTTGCTGTTGAACTCGTTGTTTCCTACTAGCAGGCGTTTCTGTTTATTATCTTTTCCACCTCATTTAAATCAATGAAGGGAGGCTAAATAACAGAATCACCTTGCTTTATATTGCAGTACAACTGAGAGAAACAAAAAGCTGAGCGCTTCCGAGATTAAAATAAAAAATCCAATCAACACCTTTCCGAAACACTTTTCTTCAAAAGCATTGTAACCTTGATGAAGGTGAGAATATTGTAGGACTGTTGCTTTAAAAAGCTGTAACATTAGCAAGGTGTACTAATATTAGAGCAGCTGGGAAAAATCTTAAAGCTGCTCTCGCTCCTTAACAGCCAAAGACACCGTCATTCATCAGGCGTTCATATTATAAATGTTATTTTCTTAAAAAACAAACAAACAGAAACCCTCCACTCTCCAATTATCACAAAGTACAAGTTCCAATAATATGTGGTTCCCACTAAATGTTGGCAGTCCAACGTTTTATTGCCTTAAAGCATTTGCTCAGTTTGTCACATGCTAAACTGCGGTCTGGGGTTAGCTCACTGTATGTTCTCATAATAAGTGCAGGCTTCCCACATTGAAACTGTCCCATGTTATAATTTTGTGGACATACACCACCTCCCTAGGATTGTGTCGTCCCTCTTTTGCTTGCAAAAAAGCCCTGAGCTATTGAGGCATGGACTTCACCCGACCCCTAAGATGTGCTGGTGTATCTGGCACCAAGCTGTTAGAAACAGAACCTTTAAGCCCTGTAAATTGTAAGATGAAGCCTCCATGGACTTGTTAGACTTGTTTGTCGAGCACATCCCACAGATGCTTGATTGGATTGAGATTTCAAGGGGAATTTAGAGGCTAAACAACTTGTTGTTGTGCTCCTGAACTATTTTAGTTTTGTGGCAGGGCGCACTACCCTGCTGAAAGAGGCCACAGCCATCAGGGAATACGGTTTCAGTGCTTAGGTATTGATATATGTCAATGTACCATCCACATGGATGACAGGACCCAAGGTTTCCAAGTAGAAAGCCTCACACTGCCTCCGGTGGCTGGTCTTCCTCCCATAGTGTCCAACTCCAGGCCTCAAGGGCTGCTGTCCTATAGGTTTTAAATGTGTCCTTGATCCAACATGGCTGATTTAAATGGCTAAATTACCTCCTCAACAAGTTCTCCAGAGGCCTGGTAATGAACGAATCATTTGATTCAGCGGCGTTGGCCCAGGGTGAGATCAAAAACCTGCAGGACACCGGCCCTTGAGGCCTGGAGTTGGACACCCCTGCCATAGTGCATCCTAACACCAGGTGTTTCACCATGGTAAGCGATGCACACACAACCGGCCATCCATGTGATGTCAAAGAAAATGTGGATACCTTCCTCCATGGCTCCGTGGTCTAGTTCTGATGCTTCGTGACCATTGCTGGTGCTTTTATTTGGGGACAGGGGTACACAACAAACTGCAATGCGGATGTAGATTCTGACACCTTTCTACCAGAACAGCTCTCTGCATTAGTGATCCTTGGTCACCTGTAACCTTGCTGCTGGTTCACCGCTGTTCTTTCTTTGTGTTTGATAGATATAAACCACTGCAGACTGGGAACATCCCAGAGTTACAGTCCTGGAGATGATCTGACCCAGTTATCTAGCATCACAATTTGGCACATCTCAGACTTGCTCAGATCCTTAGGTTTGCCAGATTTCTGCTTCTAACAAATCAGCTTTGAGGACAAAATGTTCACTTGCTCCTTAATATCACCCACTCACTAACAGGTGCCATGATGAAGAGATAATCAGTGTTATTTGCTTCACCTGGCAGTGGTCATAATGTTATGCCAGATTGGTGTAATTCTGCTTTTCCATCAGTGTTCAAAATACACAAATCCATTATCAGCCCAGTTTTGTGTAATTAAAACTTCTCCTCCCCTCTCCCTTACGCATTAATACAGAAAGGGTGACCGGCTGACTGAGTCAGCATCACAAAAGATCCATTTCATTTTTAGATGGAAATAACATAAAAGAGAAAACATATCTGAGACTCGGGCAATCCCGAGATAGGATTTGGTTCTTATTTCTTATCTCCTATTATTCCTGTGTGCCTTCACAGATTTTCTGCGTGGTGGCTAAAGGAGAAATCAATTCTGCCGTGAACCAAAAAAAGGAAAAACATCTAAACAAACAGGATTTTTCAGAAAGCTACATACACACATATGTACAGAGGAAGATAGAAAAAGAGCAACCAAATAAGAGAGTGAATGTTTTTCTTTTGCTTAGATAAAGATGAGTATATGTATAAATACAAACAGTGTGTGCCAATTAGAACCACCTTTTCCAAAAGTCCCAATAAGCAAATTTGTCGTCCTGACTAACCCAATTCAAAAAAACAGTCAACTCAGCTGTTTGGCTCTCGCTTTAGCCTCAGGCCTGAATCTCACATAACAGTCTTCCTCTGCGCAGTACTCGCACAGACCGCTGGGACCAGGACTTCAACTGAATGGCCCCAAAACCATGTATAGTCGAGAGCTCAGGCCTTCACATATTCATCAGTATATTTAAGCTTTGACTGAAGCAGAATAAAAAAATATAATTCTTTTATAATATTTTCTTTTTTCTCATCTTTGTAATGGGTGCATAATTTATGCAGTTCTGTATCCTTTTTGTGAGTTTTGCCTGCCTACTGCTCTGTGTGTCAGAGTGCTTTGTGTGATGCGTCGCTCTGGGCCACAATGACATTCACTCTGTGATATTGACAGGAGAGGATCACTGTGTGATTAGCCCTTCAGTTTCCCTGACAAATGTTTGTTCTGTAATTTCTCATAGTCCCCGGAGGCATCGCACCGGAGTCGCTCACCTTCACCCCACTGGATGACATGATCTTCCTGAAGTGGGAGGAGCCTGTTGAGCCCAGTTATGAGGTGAGCCCATGGAGACATGAGGGTGAATTTCTTCGATGTGTAAATTTAATTGGTTGTAGAGTTTGGTGGATTGGGGCAGGTGCGAGCATTTAGTAGTCTCTCTGTTATCATTGTTGGCTCCGCTGGACTTAAAAGTTGACTTAATCAGCTAACATGGTTGCTGTGCTGTTGTTTGCTGATTCTTTTAATGATTCTGGAGTGTAAACATATTCAAATCTAATAACAAGCAAGGCTGTACCCATGCATATCAGCATGTTAAATACCAGTGGCTGGATGGGTGATTAATCAACTTCTCTGTGCTTTATCTTGAACTTTATTCAGGGTTGCCATGGTTTGCGTACCAGAAACTAACTGGGAGAATATTTCTGTGTACAAAGTCTGCAAACGTATAGATGTCAAAATCCTGAACTGTCTGATGATGATGAATCAGTTATTTAAGTGCAGTCTGTACAGTAGTGATTTTAGACTACAACTAAAAGAGAATTTCATATGCTCAGATGAATCTTTAAAATAATGAAATTACATTGATCTACAGTAAAATAAACACAGATATTAAACGTGTTATTGCTAGGAAACCATCAAACTAGCTCGTATTCTCTAGCCAATAGTAACTCTGATATTCCTCTCCTGCCCTGACAGACAGCTGGAAAATTTAATTTGAACCTGACTTTGGTTGTTTAAATAGTATTATGTTTAATCATATTTCAACGTCCTGTTAAACACTGTCGGCATTTCAGTTGAAAGGCGCAGAGTGAGGTCTCTGTCAGTTTCTCTCCCTCACCTGCCATCCAAGCTATCCGTGCCACCTGCACCGTGGTGCCTTATTTGTAAAGTGGCTTTGACAATACAAAGAAAAACCCAGTAATATTCTAAATAAAGTTGTTAAATATTATATACTACAGATGGAAAGCATAGTGGTATTAACCCTATTGGTATTGTATAGTGATAAAAGTGAGCATCGGGATTGTATGAGTGCATACACTATTGCTGAAAAGAAAAGTGATGCAGGGATGAGTTTTAAGACGTCAAATGTAAAGAATAAAAAAAAATCAGTTTTAATAAATTTAAACATCCTTAATTTTGTAAATCAGGCAAATTAATGAAAGACCATTGAGCCAGTGAGTAAAACATTTGTGCCACGTGTGCCATCAACAGTGTGTCATGTGAGAGACGTAGGTCATACATGCTGCCTGAAAAAAGGAGACTGACACTCTGAACTCAACTATGATAGAAGATCAACTATGATCTTCTTCTGAGATTTTGAGTGGCAATCACTCCTGGGTATCATCCAATGCAAGACCTCCCCAGAATATATAATGCCTGCAAAGTATAGACGCCTTACTCACAGTTTCAGTAAAAGTCCCGGTGCAGGCATCTGCTGTGTGACCTCTGTAGGATAAAACGTACCTCCAACACATAAAGGGCTGCTGGGATAGTTGGTAAAGTCTTAAAGCTAAGCAAAATGCACGATCAGGCGCTTAACTGCAGGCTGAGTTTCTTTATTGGGTTGCTTGCATCATACATACGACTAAACTCATAAATTAAACTGAGGTGGATGTGGATGTAGTTTGTTCTACTGCTTCCATGCCATTTTTGTGGTCAAGAATAAAATATAATTTTCCCATTTGGTTTGATAAATTTAGAGGTTCTTTTTAAGGGGTTGTTAACTTTATATTCAATATTTTTACCAGCACAAAAAAAAATCTCCAGCAATACAAAAAAAATAACAAACCCAAACAGCATTTTCCTGGAACTGAAACGTGCCTGTTCTTTTTTTGTTTCCTGCCTAGTGCAGAAAATATTTCCCTCTCTAGTTGCTGAACCAATTTCAGCATTGCTGCAACTGGCACAGCACAGATAAAGTATGTGCTTAATCACACAACCGCTCTGCTGCAGTTTATGCTTTTTTCTTTTTCCACCCAACGGACAATGCATGTGTGTCTTTATAAACAAAAATAGCAGCGATGACTGGATATGCTTTTGCTGACCCTTGAGCACATGGCTTGGTCTTCTTGTCCTGTAGAAACAGAGAGTGGCACCTTAATCGATACACAAATTTTTGCTGTAGGGCTTCTGCTTAGCTGGACAATCATTTTGCATTTACTTTACACCCTCTGTCTGCAGAAGAGTTGAGCATGCCTACCCATGCTCAACTCTTCCTTCCGTGGCTTCTCTTGCAATGTCACCTCAAGGATATATTAAATAGAATTTCCAGTTTGACATATAAAGTGGAGGCCGCACAAGATTTTTACACTGTAGTGTACACTGATCTTCCTCAACTGACAAAGAAAGCTTTATACAAAGCTGTAGAAATCCTCTTCATTTCTCTCAGATTAAACTATTGACCAGTCTGCCTGAGCCTATCGACCAGAAAGCTGTCCTGCAAGCCCTCCTCGTTCTTCTGTGCTGGGTCTGGCATTTTTTATGAATGCCTTTGTAGCAGAAACACAGTGGTCTGTCTTTTCTCAGTCACTGGATGGCTCATAATTCTATCTTCTCCCTACGAGCATGAGCAGACATTAAGCTCTTCTTATGATAATCAGCAGAAGCTTCGGTTCAGCTCGAGCGTCAGTGCCGGTGTGTGCAACGTGCACGCGCACGAGCACATACGGTACGCATCGTGTGTGTGTTCGTTTCTTCAGTGAAGTGGATCTCCTCCAGCTCCACGTTTCCCTAATACGCTCACCCTTGTCTGATTGCGGTAAGGTCATCTCATTTAGCTCTCCACTATTTCAAAGAGCATAAGTGGAAATTCTCGTGAGGTAGAGGCACAGCTAATCACCTCTTGAGGAAAAACTTTTGAAAAGATTACACTTTTTTGAGGACACTCTCGCGCACCGATTTCGTAGTGTTAACAAGTGTTAATTAAACTCATAAACACTTCACAGTATTGATTTTCATGTTTGGAAATACTTTTTAGTGCGCGAGGTTCCGTCTCTGGCCTTCATAATGAGTTACTTAGTCAGAAAATCACTTACGGCTTCCAATGCTTCTCACCAGAGCTCCATGTTGCTCGTATGCCTTTGAGCTAATGGCGACCATGCCAATCAAGACGTATTCACCTGAAACTGGAAACCACATGAGCAATTAGCATGTTTATTTAGTGAAGCAGTTTTTATTTCATGTCAAGTGAATCATATCAATGACATATTTAATTTACTACTTATGACCGAGCCATTTGTGCACCTATTTGATGAACTCAACTGGGGGGGGAAAAAAAAAATCACAGTTGAAGTTTGTTAGCAGGTATAACAACAGAGCAAAAAAACATTTTAACTGTTTTTTAATGCTGTTTTTATTCCCTATCTGACATCAGATCAGCTACCAGAGTATCGAGTCATCTGATCCGAGCATCAACGTCCCAGGACCCAGGAGAACAGTGTCAAAGCTCAAGAACGAAACCTACCACATGTTCTCCAACCTCCACCCCGGAACGACTTACCTAATCTCCGTCCGGGCACGTACGGCCAAGGGCTTTGGCCAGACGGCCCTCACCGAGATCACCACTAACATCTCTGGTAGGAGCGCCGCTGTCGGAGCATCCGTGTTATCGTGGGCGACGGTGCGAAATCTGGTGTAAAATCGTAAGATAGAAATGAAGGCGGGCGTGTAGAGGCTGTTCTCTGTGCCATCGCTGCCTATCGCTAATGCAGCATGCAGGTACAACAGTGAGACTTCACCCACTGTGTGCTATAATTAGAAATCAGGTTTTCTCTCTTTTAACCTCTGTGTCTTCTCCCCTCGCTGAGGCAAAACTGCTGCTCCCAGAGTGCAAGAGCTATTTTCCAATTGCCTTTCCAATCTAGTGGCACGCTGTCATCTCACAGTCCTCAAGACATAAATTAACTTGCAGGTAGCAGGAAAGCACAACAGAGGGGACACTGCTGTGCGTTATGTATGAAGAAAGATTTAGAACATTCTCGGGACCAGAACACCCCTTCTGAGAGTCTCAGAGCTTATTACTGGTGATAGAAATCCAACCTTTGTGTTTCTGTTTCCTTTTAATGATGCATTTGCGCTTGTTAAGGGATGAGATTACACCTCTGAGGAGCACACAGCACGACCACTCCCACTCGGTCTCGCTCGAACATTTACTCTCTCTGCCCCCATCTCTTTGCAGAGAGGTCCGGTTTGTTTAATTATAGATTTAGTGCACAGGCTCACTCGCTGTATGGCAGACAGCAATCTGGCGTGGAGCCAGACCACAGATAGAGTCCAAAAGTCTTTGCAGATCATCCTCAGCCTCCTCCTCTGGCCCACGGTGCAGAACATTCACTTACACTGAGCGTCTCTCAAATCTGCACTGACAGCTAGCAAACACTGAACACCTTCAACAGCCACTACTGTCAGCATCTTCAAGCAACACCCACCGCGGAGTATCCTTCCACGCACGTTTCCTTATTCGCGTGCACGCGGAGTCGTGGCTGACGGGCACTAATCTCTCAGACAGGCTCAGTGTGGCAACTGGCATCGAACCCTCTTTTTTCTTTTTTGGCAGCACGTAATGTCGACAATAGTGCATCTGGTTTTCCTCAATAACTCACCTTAATTGATGCGTGCTCTTTCCTTCTGCGCTATTAGTGAACTGCTTTTTAATATGATAATTATCGATTCCTCATGAATAGTTTGCTCTCTTCCCCCTCGCTAATTGACTGCTGATATTAAAGAAAAATGTGCCGCCACATCTCCAGGGAGGAGCATGACTTTAGCCAAATCCTTTTAAATGAAAAACCCATTCAATTTAGCTTCACTCCCTTTATTTTTAATTGGACTTGTTTCTAAGACAACTAGAAGGGAAATTCAAACATTGTACTTAAAATGACAATATGGGGTTTGGGTATATTAGCCCGTTTATCCCTGTATGCTGACAAAGGAACGAGTCTTTGCTCAAAAAGACAGTTTGTGCGGCTTAGACCAGGGGTGTTAAACATTAGGCTCGGGGGGTCACACTCTGCTCGGCAAAGACTCCAATCTGGCCCACTGGGAAGCTTTGAAAAATGTGAAAGATGGGATAAGAATTTTCAGCTTTCACCTGTATTTTCATACTTTTTACAGCTTTTCCCACTGATAAAGACCTCCCCCCCCCCCCATCATTCATACTAAAACAAAGTAATTAAGTGCAAGTTAAAATTACAGGGCTGTCTGTGCAACGAACAAACAGATTTATTTTTGTAATTTGACACAGTTCTTTCTTATAATTTAAGCCCAAAGAGTCGTGCTGACAGATTTCTTTTCACTTGCCACAGTAGAAAAACTTTGTGTGGAAAAATTGATCTGCACTGTAGTTAAACTTCTTGACTGCACATTGACAAAATCAAGTTTTGCTGACCTTAAGTGGGTCGCACTTAAGGTCAAAGTGGGCTGCATGTGGCCCACGATTCAAAATGAGGTCGACTCCCTTGACCTTAAAAATTCATCTCTGAATTTCTAGTTCCATAGTCTAAACTGTAAATATGTAAAAGATGAATAGTGATGTAGCTGTGTGCACACATTTTTTATCTTAATGACATGGCGAGATATGCCAGTGTATCAACAACTGTCTGCATTGCCACTAGTTAGTGTACTATGAGGAAAACGCTATATAGTGAGTGAGTGAGGCTCCGTGTTACGTGACATTTCAAGGATGAACATGTTTATGTGAAAGGACAAAGAGGCAGAAATGAGCACTGGCTAAGGCTAGACGTGTGCTTATTTGCGTGTGCTTTTATTGTTTTTGACATGTAAGCTTTGGTGTCTGGTGTCCACAGCTCCCACCTTTGATTACGGAGACATGCCGTCTCCGCTGAGTGAGACAGAGAGCACAATTACTGTCCTGCTGCGCCCCGCCCAAGGCAGAGGAGCACCTGTTAGGTGAGGAGATCATTTCAGGTACAGAAAATTGATTTTCATCAGTGCTCCAGGCTTATTAAAATGCACATCCGCTCTTTGTACAGCACATACCAGGTAGTGGTTGAGGAAGAAACTGGGAAGAAAGTGAAGCGGGAACTGGGGGTGCAGGAATGCTTTCCGTTGCCCATGTCACACGGGGAGGCCCAGGCCCGAGGGACGCCTCACTACTACACAGCCGAGCTGCCGCCCAGCAGTCTGCCCGAGGCCAGTCCCTTTACTGTGGGTGACAATCACACGTATAATGGTTACTGGAATAGCCCTTTGGACCCCCGCAAAAGCTACCTTGTCTACTTCCAGGCTATGAGCAACTTCAGAGGGGTGAGTGACTATAAACTTGCACTGGTGTTGCAGCAAAGCTGGATACGTTGTTTTTGCAAACCTTGTTATAGTCTGTGTCAAATTGTACCAATGACACTCCTGTTCTTTAATGTATTAAACGTTCTCAAATCAGTTGCAGGCCTTTGTATGGAAAACTGTTCTGTTCCCCACTGATGCTAACACACCCATCTCCATAATATCCCAGTTTAATCCCTGGCCAGTGGTAATCAAATGAAGTCAGTGGTGTTTGGCGTTAATGAGTATCTGTATTTAAAGTACTAATGCTGTGACTGATGTATTGTGTGGACCTCTGAACAAGCACTTATGCAGTGAAAGAGGTTGTTGGATGAAAACAAACTGTGCAGGCAAATGTAACTACTTGAAAACTACAAACGCTTACATCCTACCACTTTGATTCTCTGCATTTCTGAGACAGGAATTACTTGCATGTATTACTTACAGCAAGCAAAGCTCTGATTAAGTGGAATTACTCAGAGTAAACAATCCACTTCATTCGCCTCCTCTGTCCCGTTACCTCCATGTCCTTGTCTGCTCCCCTCTTTCTTTATGCAAATAATTAGTTAATTATCTTCGAGAAAAATCCAGATGTAGCTGGCCAGGGTAACGCAGAACTAAACCTGAGGCTTTTACGTGACTGCTTTTCTGTCCACTCACTAAAAACTTGCAGACCTTGTTTCCACACGGCTGTGCTTGCTTCCATTTCATTGTTCTTGAACAGACAAAGACCTTCAGTTGTACCCAGAGGATGCCACATTACCTTTCCAAATTCCATTACAGGAAGAGCTGCTACCTGGGTGAGGCAATTACTTAAGGATAATTGGGCACAGGTGCAGCTGATCAGTGGTAGAAAGCTGCTGCTTTAATATTCACAGACTGTGGCAATGTAGCTGAGAGTTATTGCCGTAGGTAAAAACACAGTCTTCTGTGATCATCAGCTGGTGATAAATACGTGCAAGCTGGGTCACTCGTGTCTGCTTATTTTTTCCGATTTCTGTCGGCTGCTTTTTCATTAGGAGTGTGCGTGTGAGTGTTTTTAAAAATCCTGCAAACAGGAGCTGGGTGACTCGTCCCCACCAGTAAGATCTTTTTCCAACCCAGTGAAAAAACACACGGACGGAGTGCTGTGTGAGCACTTCACACAGCTAGGCTACCAAGAATGGGATTAGATAGGGGCGGCCTGGCTTTACCGGCGGATGGGATTAGGCTTTGTTTTGCCTGGCAGGGGGCCAGCATCCATGACCCACAGTGATGGGAGCACAGTGCCAAATCACACAGCCAACATTGTCCTCAGTCCTTTAAACATTGCTTTGCCTGGAAGTACAGATGCAGTGAGTGTTTAAATCTGTATATCGGTGCTGCAGGACTGAACCGACTTCACTTAAATCAGCTTTTAACACAAGGAGTTTTAGTCAGAACAAGTTTACCCTCACAAACACATTATTTCGGGGAGTGTGTCAGACCTTGCTCAGTGTTCATTGCTTAGCACAGGATCTTATTAACCTCCTAAGACCCGAACTCTTTCACGACATGCATTTTTAATTTCTCTTTGATATTTGGGCTGATTGGGGCCCGATGAATGTAAAAAACAAAGAATTACCAGATTTTTTTTTTACCTAATTTTTGTTTTTAAGAAAAATGAGAGCCACATATGAGGATATTCATTTAAAATTTTGATATAACAGTAGCAGTATAATGTCCTCGTAAGTGGATATCAGGCCCATGTAGAGCAAAATTTAGTATTTTGGTCTAAATAACCCAAAATGTGATGTCCACATATGTGGACGGCAGGTCCTAGGAGGTTAATATAGCTTTTTCATTGATGTCAGTGTAATAGCTGTGTGATGTCAGTGAGTTCGGTATAGTTAAATCGAACCTATGCTTTGTATATAACCCACACACATCACAACAGGATTATGAAAAGACAAGGATTGCAGGAGAAAAGGTGTCATATGCATAATGTAACAAAAAAAGTATTAAAGAGTGTAAAATAGCAGTAATTAGACTGCTAACAGAGCACACAGTTATACGGCATGGCACTTAGCTTGTTAATGATATTAACGTCATTAGCAGGCGCAGTTTTTCACCTCCCAGAGTCATTTAAAAGTGGCCACATCCAAGTGCTAATGACAAAGTGTATTAAAACCATCAAGCAGATGTTCACGTTTGGCTCCTGTAGCCTGCACGGACCAGAAATGGTTCAGCAATTGCTAAATGTTTTGTCCTGTTTTGTATCTTCCTGCTTGTGCTCCATGTGCATTTATGCGTCACAGGCCTTTTCACATTTTCGCATTGTGCGCACACTGTCACAAAAATGTAGGCCAGAAAAGTGAACGTTGGCATTTTGAATTCGATTGCGTACAGAGGCACAAATGCATGTACTGGGGATATTTTTGTAGTGGTGTTTTGTAAAGAAGAGAGCGAAGCGTAATTACTTTATGCCTGCTCGTTTTAGTGGAAGAAAAAAATGTAAAGAGCACTCCAGAAGCTGGCAATGAAAGTAGTTTCTCTCCCAAGAGTGAGGCATCTGAAAGTCACAGACACCTGGATTAAACACTTGTTGATGCCGTGCTGACATAATTGTCATCTTTAACAGTTATTTAAGCTATTGCACCCCGGGGGGGCAAACAGAGCTGTCATCACGTTTTATGACTTATTGGGACGCCTCGTTATTTCAGAATCTCTGTGGTTTATTTACACTTACATCACCACGGACTGCCATTTGGCTTTTTCTACCTTTAAGGTTTTGTCTTTGTGAAGGGGAAACATTGAACCTCTATAATGGTGGAACAGTTTGAACAGTATATGGGACCCATAATATTTGGTATTTACCCATGCTAATTATCTAGAGAGTGGCTCTCAAGCCTCTGTAATTGCTTTGATTGATCCATCTAAAGAGGTACTTGAAAAGCTGTGGATAAAGGCTGTAGCTTTGAAGGATACAGCATACCCATTTATAACCACTACACTTAGATCTTCAAACTTTGCACACACATACACACAAACACTGTAAAAACCTTGAGTGTGTGCCATAGAGCCCTGTGTTGCATGTTGGCATTTGCGTTTTGTATTTAGAGCTGCCAGGAGCCACCAGCCCCTCAGGCGTAACTGGCACAGCGTGGGGAGACGTGATGTTTCTTCCACAATCTGGAGCTTGCCAATTAACACTTCTGCTGAGCTAGTGCACAATGACTTAGATATGCGAGTTGAAAAATTTACTTGTCCATCACGACGACCTATTTTACATCATCTGCATTAAGGAGATGTAAATGTATCTGTCTTAATTTGCCAAAGCTTGTAATGATTGAATGTATGAATGATTTCAAATACTTTCTTCATAAAGTAGACTGCTTCAGATGAATCAGCTTTTCTTTCGTAAGGAAAATGTTTAATGTAATTGAGTCAGTCCACAGAAGGCTCAAAGTCCCCAGTCAGCAGTCTGCATGTTCCAGTTCTCCTGATACATGCAGTGGAAATGAAGTGGGTTGCACTTTGATGAATAGTATTAATTAAAACAAATTGATAATCATTTGATAGCAGTTGATATAAATTATATTAGAAATGTGGCTTAAAGTAAGTTATATAAATCCACCTGTCAGCTTCGTTGTATTGTGGTAATGTGCAAAAGTGTTTCTTTATATTTTGCTAGGAAAATGGGAAATTGGTGCAGCGATTTATCGAACCATGCAGACATACATGGAAATATAATATATATAGCATTTACTAGTATAATATTTGCTTATAACATTTCAGTTAATAATACAGTATGGAGTAGGGGTGGGTGATATAAACGATATACGATAGAAACAAAATAAATTTGGCCAACGATAGAGATTTTGACTATACCGCTCTATCACATGTTGATGATGTTATCAAGCTGCGCCTGTTTTGGTTGAAAGCATTGCAGTGGCTACAACCAGTATCATCTGCAAATTATGGCGGGCGACAGTCATAGCAAAGAGATGAAGCACTTTTGAAATATGGGGAAAGCCAAAAACTGCGCTTCCTCCACTTCCGTAACATTGATTCATTAATGCTGAATTCTCTCGCAGCTGCTCTATTCCCATGTTGTTGCAGTATATTAATAACTAACATCGTATTGTGGATGAATGATCTCAGTTGTTCTCCTGACTGAGGTTTGGCCCGTGTATAGCATCCTGCTATGCGATTGCATTTGTCCCCAACCACCAGAATCCCTCACGTTAACTTTTATCGAGTGGAAAAAAAGTTGGCGTTCATCCTCCAGCTTCACTGTGCTAATGTTATGCTAACATAGCTGTGTCGCTAGCAATCACGTAGCACAACATTATATACCAGGTAGTCCAACTTCAGTAACCCTGCAAACGCCACTGCTGTTTAGTTTCCTGTCTTCATTTATGTCGGAAGTGGTAGCTGAGCTGTACGTTTTCATTTTTCAGAAATCTCTCAGTCAGAACATGGTATGTCATGTTTAGGTGGAAACTAGCGAGCTAACTTCCTGCTAACTTCTAACTCCGTTAAATTTAATAACTTCTGTTTTCATGGATGCCTGGATGTTAAACTTAATTGTTACACTTGGTAAAGCAGCAATGCTGATGATTTTATTGAAGATTAAAGATCAAGCAGTGAGGCTTACCAAAGTTGTACTAAAACATTTTTTAACAGATTTCTGCACGCCCAAATCGGTTTGAGGTCAGTAAGCACAACCAGAATTCATACATAAGGCACACTCTCGATTTTTGAGAAAATTAAAGGATTTTAAGTGTGATTTATAGTGTGGAAAATACGTTATACAGAAGAAAAGAATATATCGCGATGTATATCGTTACCGCACATGCTTCAAATTATATTGCGATATGAATTTTAGGCCATATCGCCCAGCCCTAGTATGGAGGCAAACACAGAATTCATTCAATTCACTTTCAGGGTGCTTGAAAATCAATATTTGGTTTGGGCACCATTATTCTTCAACAAAGCCTGAACTCTCTTAGGCAAGTTTCTCTTAATTCCTTTAAAGAGTCTCCAGGAATAGTTCTCCAGGCTCCTTGAAGGAGATTCAGGTCTTTTGCTTTGGATATTGGGCTGCCTTTTGTTGGGTTTTCTATCAGGATAATTGTACGTTTTTACCAGTAAAGTATGCTTTTTTACTGCACTGACAGTGTTTTTGGATTATTGTCATGCTGAAAAACGAAGCCAATCAGATACTTTCCAGATGTTATTGTATGGATAATCAAAAATCTGCCATGTCTGTGTTAACAATTACAGCCCCAAACCATCGAACCAGACATTTCAAATTTATATTCATTGCGCCATCTGACCTGTTGCCAATGGTTTTTGGTCTCATTTTTCTATAATTTGGCAAACCTCAGCCTTTGCTCCCTGTTTTTCTTCCTTACGAATGGCTTCTTGACAGCCATATTTCTACTGAGAGCATTTCTGATGAAGCTTTAGTGAAAAGTAGATGGATCAACTGAAGGGCCAGCTTAGAGTTTATTCGCAAAGAGTCCAACAAAGCTAGATCCACTTCAAAGAAAGCAAGCTAACTAGCAGCTAACTAGATTAACAACAGCCAAAATATCTTGATGCATGCTCATTCATCCGGGTAAGTAAATCCCAAAGGTTGATTGTGTTCATCTGGACGTAGCGTTTTCAACAGGAGCAACGTTTTGTCACTTATCCAAGTGACTTCTTCAGTCTCAGCTGACTGCAGGTTTCCCCAACCTTATAAATAACCTTATAAACAGTACATTGCACAATAACTGATTCAGCTAATAATTTATATTAATGATCAAGGAACTGACCATTGTTCATTCAGTGGGCTGGTTTCAGTTATTGTGCAAATGTACTGTTTATAAGGTTGGGGAAACCTGCAGAATCAACCTTTGGAACAGCCAAAATAGCAGCAGTTACCAACAGAAAAGTATATCTTCAACAGCACCTCAGTATCGGTCAGAAGTGAGTTTCACTGACTCGGATTGGACTCCTTTCACAAAGCTTTTGAATTAGTAGGGGCAAGAAAACTGGATTCAGTTGACTCCAATCTGCAATCTACTGATATCTAGTGGTGAGGTTTTACACACTGTTGGGCTGGAGAAATGGCACTCTGTGTGACGGACATGTTTGTTTACAGTTTGATTCTATATTTTCAGATTAAACCACGGAGTTAAAGACTTGTTTAAGTGTCGGATTAAAAATGTATTTTCAATTTAAAAAAGCAATGCAACTGGAGTTTGAGGAAAGCTCGTTTTGCCCATTTCTGAATAGAATAATTTGCATAATTGTCCCATAATGCCCGAATTAGCATCTCTGAATCTTAATTTGATGATACATCTCCTCCATGAGGTGGCAGGATGGAATTGGATTACAGTCTTGGTTCCCATTAGTGCTGTTTGACAAAGGTTCTTTTTGTAACAGAGAGATGCCATCAGCTGAAATTTGAATAAAATGAATGATTTTTATAGCGATGGACTGGTCTGAAATTTATGCTAAATTCGTTTCAACTTTCATCTTTTCTCCTTCAGATAGAATCCCTAATCTCCTTCTCATACACTTCACCACAGATCTCAGGTTTTAGATATTTTTTTGTTTTCTTCTGTCGTTAGTAGGAATCTTAACTTGTGAGGTAATTCGTCCTTTTACACTCAGTCATTTTATGCTTTCTTTGGAGACGTGAGTGCCACCCACTCGTGTTGAGTAATTTGTATTTCTAATCAGAGGGTATGAACAATTGAAAAGAAAGGCGGCATCATGCTTCTAGATGCGGGCTAGCATCACTTCTAACATTAAGTCCGTACTGCTTGTCTTGGGAATAAACATCATATTTTTGAAAGCAATTGTGTGTTTTTATGTGTTGTAATCATAATTTTTTCACCACATGATAAATATGTGCGCCTCGGCTCAGTATTTCACATCCTCTCTTCTATTATCACATCTCTTTCATGCAAAATGCAAAGTGACACTTTCCCCCTGACGTCTGTGTTGTCTTTCTCTTTCAGGAATCTAGAATAAACTGCATCCGCATTGCTCGCAAAGGTAATTCAACATAAATATCTCACCTCCCAAAAACACTGTGACCTGAATCCATTTCCTTGCATCATTTCTAAATAACTTGCAGTATTGTGTACTTTTGTAGAAAGACAGGACATTACGAATGTGACGGTGATGGTGTGTTTACTCTGTTGTAGGATGAAATATTCATGAGGTGATTCTTCGCGTAGCTTTCGTTTTTAATATGCTGTCGATACATTGTCACCATTTATTTGTTCGTTAAAATGTCCAAATACTTCAGATCTGCCGGTTTGACTGCCCAGCGTCGCTACTTCGTGACACCTCGTGGTAGAGCGAACAATAGTTAACCTGCCGTGAAGAGGAAACTAACAGGGGACAGATGGTTCAAACAAATTAGTGACCTGATCAGCAAATTATTAAAATTGAAAAAAAGACACTTTAAGGACTATTTTTCCTCCCTTTGTTACAGTCACTGTTGTTAGAGGCAAGGTTTCATTTTAGTACTCTGTAGTTCCCGCCTATCTCTCTTCTCTTAAGTAAAAAGGTGAAGAACTGGACAAATTTTCTCTGGCTGCCCCGGTTGTTTAGCACTGGGCCTCAGAGAAAAGGGCAACAAGCAGGGAAGGATTAGAGGTCAGGCTTTCATCCTGTTTGTTTGGGGGCTGACACTGGGACACGTCGTATCAAAGGCAGTCTCTTTGTTCTCATCAGCAGCCCACCAGACAGCTACATCTGAGGGCTCTGACCTCTGCGCTGTCCAGAAGGGTTCTCCAGATCAAAACTTCCAGATGGAGCTACCTTGGCCTATATGAGAAAGCCCTCCCTGCCTCCTTATCTTTACCTCGGCTTTTTTGATTCAAAGGCACATGAAAAGGGCAGAGAAATTGACTCTAAGTCCTTATGGCAGGAGAGCCCCTCCACCATAGTACACTGTCAGATCACGGTAAATAAAAAGTCATGTATTTATAGTTATCATAGCACCGCAACAGTAAGCGGAGCCTTGCAAGTAAATTGACTTGGCAGGGTGTCTTTTTCTTTTTTTGGTTAAGGCCTCTTCTTTTGTGAGAAAATAATGAAAAAGATGAGGCTAAGGCGAGGCCAGCCTTTTCAGCTCGACTTCTTGCTCCCCACAAGTGCCAAATTGGGCATTGATTAATTAAAAGTCCCCACAGCAACAGACTTTATGCTGCATGTGCCACTTTTATTTGACACTGGGCAGAGACAGAATGAAAGAAATGAACAATGGAGCTCCTAAGATAAAAAGAAAATACAATTAGCAATGAAATAAAATACCTGTAGAGAGAACAGAAGTGGAGATAAGACAAAAGAATAAAAGGTTAAATGCACAATTGAAAGTTATGATTTAAAAAAACTGCCAGCACTACATTTTCACCACAGGCATGGTGATATAACTAAAAAAACCCCTGAAATGCCCATTGATGACAGAAAAAAATGTGGGTATTTCCAATTTCAAGGTGTAACAGGTCACAGGGTTGTTTTTTTTTTTTTTTTTTTGTTGCTATGTGCGATCTCCATGATCCCTCTACCATTAACAGAGCCTCTGCATCATCGGGTCCTAAGCCGTTATTATCAAGCAGCCCATCACAAGCGAAGTGGAGGCAAATGATTCTGGCTTGGATAACAAAGCTGGAGATTACATTTCAACTTCCAGGTGACAGTTTAATTAAGGATCCTCTGGCAGGCTCAACACAACAATAGACTTCCATTTCTCCTCTAAGTGCCAATTTCCACCATCGGGCAGCTGGCAGGTGCATGGATTCATGTGGAAATCTATTTCATGCTCGTGTTTGGCTTAATAGAAATTTTGAGGGTAAAAGAGGCAAAACCGCCTTATCTGTCCAAAATGTCAGAAAGCTGAAATTGATTTTTCACCTCCTCCGCTACATTTTTAGCCCGTATAAAGAAGCCTTCCCCTAATTTTAAATGAAGTTGCGGCATAAAATAAACGGTGAGCATCTGAGTTTGTGTCTGAATGGAGCGCCGTCTCAGACACGCTGGAGTCTTTGGTATTTGTCGGTTACAGTCGCTCAGAGACACAAAGGCATTTTGGATGTTGGTGTGTCCCTGTGTGTGAACAGAAACCACAAAAGGAATCACTCACTGGCTAAATCCTTTCTCACCACGGCGGCAGACGCGACGTTTAAAAGCAGCACATGCAGAGATGTCACGCTATCGGATTAATATGTAATCGGAGGACAGCGACACAAAAGTGATGTCCAAAGCAGTTTCAGAAATAACAGCCTTAGACTAATATCAGGCCAGTGACTAATTTCCCCCTATTCTGATATGTCAGACATTCATGATTGATTAAAAAAATCCAGCCAAATCCTACCATGATATTGCACTACTTTCATCTTTATTTGGACAGAGGGTTCTAAGGCGGCCCAAGTGCCCATGGCTGCAAATAGTTGGACTAAAGCACGGCTCTGTTTTCATTTTCCCTGCCCCAGATCTGATTTTCTTTTTCCCCAGCAGGCTGTAAGATAGAGCTCTATCCCCAGGCCTGCTCTGACTTTCTCCCACTCTCCAGATAGTTTATACTGTTCCAGTAAGCTCTGGAGGGCTGGTTTCCAGGCTGTCAAGGCCTGGAGGACAGGCTGACACACAGGGAAAAAAACTGGATCAGTGGGCTCCTAGAACAAGGCAAAGAAAGACCCACTGCTCAGCACCATTTACATAAGTATGAAGCTTTATGTAGGAGAAATGAATAACCTGCTATTATGGTAACGACCTTTCCAGTAGCTCACAGACAGCGGGGCACCTTGAGACTGTACTGTAAAGCAGTGTGAAGTATTCTGACTGGAAACTGATTATTGATTGGAAATTGACTTCAGAGGTCAGTGAGTGTACGACAGCATGAATTGCAATCCAAACGTGTCGCGTTATAATTATAATGTTTAATGCAAAACTTTTAAATCAAGAATGATTTGCTGCTCTGCTGTGAGTTCACCGCCTCACTCTCCCAAATCTGGAGCCTTGTAAAATTTACCAATTCATACAAACCTGCTTAAAAAGATCATGGTAGTCATAGTAGCGACATATATCTTTAACTGTCTGAAATGATCACAGAAAATCATTCCGTGTGGGAGCGAGTCTGCTTATTTTGCACATGTCACTTGTATCTGTTTGGACAGTGTGGACAATCACTGTTCAAAGTGTCACCTCTTCATTTGCATACATTTTTCATTTCTGTCTATTTTTTTGAAAATGCCTCAGATCAGATCAGTGGATCTCTTAGCAGTGGTTATGATAGGTAGTGTGACAGGATGACAAAATTCAGCTTTCCTACCTCTGTTGAATCCTTTTTGCCCTTTATTCCTTTAAGTTCTATGTTTGCATTCTGCCTTTTTAATGTGGCTCTTCTGTCTTCCCTCGTGTAGCGGCCTGTAAAGATCATCGCAAGGCTTTGGAGGTGTCGCAGCACTCCGAGGAGATGGGGCTGATCCTCGGTGTGTGCGCCGGAGGCCTGGTAGTGCTCATCCTCCTTCTGGGCGCTGTCATTATCATCATCAAGAAAGGGTAAACAACTTTCCATAGACATTGTGAACAAAACATGCGTCATTGTGCTTAATCACCCCGCATAGTTTTACCTTTTACGCTTTATTCTCCGGCAGCTCGGTGATCGGCTTTTACTCTTTGCTAGACTTTTGCAAAGGTCACGCTTTCCAAAAGATGGGCAAACAGCTGGCGTGGCGTTGTTTTTCTTTTTCTTATATCGCACCAGAGGGACCAAACAACTCGCATCTGCAGAGCCTGAGTGTGAAGTATTTAATTAAAGGCGGATGCAATTCAATTAGCCACTTAATTACACACCAAACAGACGCCTGACCCTTAAATGAGATGGTAATTGGGAGGGAAAAGGTGTGCTTTTAGAGATTATTAGTCAATGATCCCGCAGGTCTACAGTAAATCATCGACACCTCTGGCTCCGCATTTATTTAGCGGCAGCTAAAGTCTCAAATCGGGCTTCGACGCCCTCGCCTGTTTAAGATAAATTGAATTCTAAAGAGCCAGCCAAAATAGGAGTTAGTCAGAGGCTCCAGCAATCGGTGTTTAAATTGCTGACACAGCGTTCAGGGTAATGGTGAATAATCTTGATTGTGGAAGTCACTTCTAGTCTGCACATTAGCCCGCGTTGCTCTCCTAAGCCACCATGAATTTCACTTTTAGGGAATTGATTATTAAATTTGCTGTGACAGGAAGCCGCGTGGTCTAGTCCTTGAAGTGTAACACTGAGACGTATTCGATTGAAAGAAACACACATTTTTCTGCCCGGCTGTGGTTTAGTCTGTCAGCACCTGCTTGATCCGCTCGCATGTGTCATATGGCCGCCTGGGCAGCTAAACTCATGAGAGGACGGTTTTCATTTTCACTGTAATCAATGCGCTCTGCCCTTAGCTGACATTGCTTTCATCTTACATCTCTTCTTTCTCTTGATTTTTATTTTTTTCCCTTCTTCTCCTGCACTCTTGCCAGAAGGGACTACTACTCTTATTATCCGTAAGTGACTCCACCTCTTTGCTTTTCCATCGTTTTGTGATCCATCATACACGTGCATGTGCGCTTGCTGGCTGTCAATCATGAGTTACAAGAGTGTACCACTCTTTTTTTTTTCTTCTCTCAGCAGATCAAAAGTGTACAAGCTTTTTTTTTTTCCTACCTAAACATAACTGCAGAGACTCTTGTGGCAATCTCTTCTTAATATTGATTGCCTCTTGATTGTTTTCTCTATCCGTTAACAGGAAACCAGGGAACATGAATAAGACGCCAATTACCTACCGCCAGGAGAAGAGCCATATGGGCTCTATGGAGCGCAGTTTCACAGACCAGAGCACCCTGCAGGAGGATGAAAGAATGGCTCTTTCCTTCATGGATTCACACACTTGCGGCACACGAAGTAAGAGAAGTGCACCGCTGTGACACTCATGCAAGCTTTGCATAGCCCCGAATCTGACATGCATCATCCCTCACTTTGTAATCTTTTTGGCCGTTGCTCGATCGCTCCATAAATATTTCAATCAATTGCAACATGTGAAAAATCTCCTTCAGTATGATTTCATGTCAGCTAGTACCGCCTGAAGCCAACACAGAAACACAGAATCTCACTAGATGGCAAATAAAATAAAAAAAAATGATTTGTGATTCTTGTCAGTTTTGTGCTTTCTAATGTTGTCAGCATCACAGAGGAGGAAAGATGGATGTGTTTATCCTAAAGATGCTCGAGATTTTTGTCTGCTTCACACTCTTTCTGAGAAAGAGTTGCCGACGCATCAGCATAAGATCTATTACGAAGACATCTGTATCGAGACGAACTCCATTCAAAACTTCATGCCTGACGTGTATTTGTCATGTATCGGCCTGTAAAGTGCCTTTCTGTGCCGCTAACACATTCACACCAGTATAAACGTGACACGCAAGTGTTAGAAAAAACGATAAATGTTTCAAGCCGTGATGTGTCTGAGTCATTAATGTTTCAGCTCACTCAAACTGTGAATGTGTCTGTGTGCGTCGCTCAGGTGATGCTCGAAGTTCAGTGAATGAGGCCAGCAGCCTGCTGGGAGGCTCCCCGAGGCACCAGTGTGGACGTAAAGGTTCCCCCTACCACACGGGACAGCTCCACCCTGCCGTCAGAGTGGCCGACCTCCTCCAGCACATTAACCAGATGAAGACCGCCGAGGGCTACGGCTTTAAACAGGAATATGAGGTGAAAGGGCGCCGTTGTACTCCTGTTTAACGCTGTGACATTATAAGACAGCATAGACAGCTATTAGTCCTGCACTCTGGCAACATTAAATGAACAGCGGTATAAAGAATGGGTGCTGGTGCACTCATGCTGAGTTATTTAAAATGGAGCTAAAACACTTTTCCTACTGTCTTATATGTGCTGTTGCAATGGTAGATGGCCAAAGTTTCAAATAATGAGGTCAAAGTCTATGCAAGTAGTTGCTGTGAGCCAAAAGCTCAGGCTTGGATCGCATCTGTATCCTTTACTTCTTTGGCTAGTTGATGTCAGTGAGAGGAGTTGTCCTTAATATTGTTGTCCTTTACTTGTATGAAAACGTGTTTGCCTTTCCCAAAGAAGAAAGCGCGAGCCAAAACTTCAGAGAGCAATGTTTTTTCAATGAACCCAGCATGAAGTTTGAGTTTCAGCTATGTTAATGCTAAAAGATGGGGCTATTCTGCCTATGAAAGGCAATAATGAGCTATCAGAACTGCGAGCTGAAGGTGTCACTAAACCACTGCTGTCGTATTTAATGGATTTCAATGGTTGCTGCTACAATTTCACTCAAAGTGTAGCCGAATCTGCTCTCTTTCATTCTGCTGACTCTTGAAAGCTTTTTTTATTGGTTAAAGTTGTTAAAAGTGATGCTACAGGGAGGAAATATACGAAAACACAGATGGAGATGAGCTTGTTTTGTTATTTTTAATATTGTGAGATAGTTAACATTTTGTACTTCAGGTGCTTGTTTGGTTCAGTTCCATAATTTATACTTGTTGGGTGTGATCATGATATTGTGAAATTTTGCCTAAAAGTACCACATTTCTGTCCAGTCCTCACTTCAAGATCACTCTCTCATCCAAACTTAGACCGATTCTAGAGCTGCTTCCATTTTCACATTACCCACTTTCGGGCCAAATGCATCGGTGCTTTACAATTATTCAGAGGAGGTCGGGGAGCAAATATTCACTTCTGTGACAAACTGATCGGACTTTTGTATCGAGGAGCATTAGGAGGAAGCACAATCCAGAAAACAAACAGCATTTTCAAGTTGTTTAGTCCAGAGTTTCCAACCCCTTCGGTGACATTGGAGGCTAGCAATGGGGAGGTATGCTTTTATGTATTTATCTATTTTTTATTTTCAGTCACGGGGCTGTGCTCAATGAATTTGCACCCTGGGGTCAGCGAAGTTCTGCTGTAACGTCCTGAGGCGAACGTTCAATGGAAATGACCTGAGCTGTGGCATGTGCCAGCCAGATTCCAGAGGCACAAGTGCAAGCGGTCATGACGGGACTTTCAGAGCGCAGTCTAAAAATAGAAGTTCCACTGAAATTGGTTCAAGGTACAGGAGAAGATGACCTTGAATTTAGTAGATATAGGTGCACTTGTTGATTTTACCTTGTATTTGGTCTTCTCTTCTTAGGGGCACATTGATCGCCCAATTTAATTGTGGTTCCTTCCCTTCCTATAAATAAAAAGTTTAAATATATCATTATCATACCTTTTAAAGATGACAGGTGAAAATACACCTTTCCCTTAAATTACTTACTAAAATGATATTTTCCAAGTTATCTCCAACAGCTCGGAGAACTTGGCTGATAGTGATGTTATCATAATTAGTATTACTAAATATTATTCTTGCATTTTCTGTAGTGTTACGGTGTTACATCCCAACTTGTAACACCTAGTAGTTAAAGGCTTTTTCTTCTGAGGGTTCTGCAGATGTTTCAGTGGCAGATGGAAAGCATTACTTCTTAGACATGTCCTAGTTCTGTCCTGAGGCTCCCCCTCAGCAGGAATGCTTGACTTTAATTGCCAACATTGTTAGGAGTAAGGGTGGAATTGTGCTTGCTTTTGAATGCGCATACAAAAAGCTTCAAACACCAAGGAATTGCACTTGTTCTTTCTTATACACTTTGTTATCTTCTAGTTCCCTTTTTAGTCCACTTGGGATCTGACTGGAGTGGTACCCAGTGGAAAGAAAGAAACAGATGTGAGATGAGATGACGATATAAATTTGATTTATTCCACAGAAAAGGATCATTGCATCGCAGAAGTGCCTCCCCCCTGACCCTGCAGAATCAGCTGTTTTTGTGCAATAATATTACCATATGTGTTGAAGCCACGTAAAGTTTTGTCTTCACACTATGTCAGTTTTGAATTTTCTGAACTAGAGGCTTAAATTTGGTACATATTAAGTTGTCTTATTTTTTCTAGCATTTCCGAGTACCTCATATGATATTCCTGGATGAAAAATGCAACCAAATCAGTTGTATTTATTTTGCTCACTCCAAAGTTCATGATCTAAAGCGATCACCCATCCACTTTTAACATCAGTTCCATTTGATCATCACTGTTTACATAGCAAAACTGCACCTATTTGATGCTCTTCAACAAGCATTGGTTTCCTGGATATTTTATGCATTTCTGGGAAAAGCTTCAGAAAATGAATTTTGGATTATATAACAATGTGGGATAGGTGCCTGTCTTAAACAAACTCATAAAAGCTCTCCTTTGTACCCACATTTTGACACCAGCCTCATCTTTTAGCCATGATTCATGAGTCAGGTGAGAACATTTCTCAGAAGTGACTGATTTTTAAACTGGATTGACCCAAAAGTGTGAGCCGTCTACTGTGGTGATGGGGTGGAAAACAGCAATTTTCAATTGGGTCAGATATTCAGTCCACCATGACTTCACCAGTCCATGTGATATTTGGTAAAGTGTCCAAAGAAACTGGAAATTTCAGAATAGTAAGAAAGCCTATAGGCTGTGATTTCATGTTGTGGATCGGTATTTCTCCGTTTTATTTGTTTGTTTTTGTGCCCAAGGCTAAAAAAGGAGATTGATTTTAAAGTACACATGCATTCACACTTGCAGAAAATAACCTTTATGTCACCTGGAATTATATCAGTGACTTATTAGATTATGTTGACAGCTTGTATACGTACCCTTATTTTCGCACAAGCAAGCAAGGGTTGTTGCTGCCTGTGGTTCAGGTTCTGTGTGTTGTTGTTTTGTTTTTATTTTTACAGCAGGAGAAGAGATATTTGTTTATTTCCTGTTAGATGTGAGTTTTTTCTTCCCACTGTCGCCAAGTGCTTGCTAATAAGGGTCGTCTGATTGTTGGGGTTTTCTCTCTACTGCGTTTTTACCTTGAGGCAACTGTTGCTGTGTTATGAAAGTGAATTGAAATCGTTTCCAAATATGTGTTTGGCTTAATTTGCACCATGTTAGCATTGTTTAACTCCTCCCAACAAATGATATACTCATGCTGAAGGCTGCTGAAGTCTGGGTCCAGTTAAAGCCACAAGGTCAGTTTTACAGCAGTTTCTCCTCCCTGTTTTATTTAAAGCTGGTTTTGTATGTTTTACTCCTGACATTTGATTGTACTAATTCAGTAAAGGCAAATTAATATATTTCATGCACTCACAATCATAAATGATACAAAATCCCAACAGACACCTGGACTTGTGTCAGGGCACTCTAGCCACAGCCTCAGTGGAAGATAACTGTGAGCGTAAAGAGGCCATATAGCCTGAATGTTGAAAGTGGGAGACCATCAATCTGAAATCCTCCACATCATCCGCCCTCCTTATCCCACACTGAAATTAATTACCAAGGTTAAAGAGGCTTTTGGATCACACTGTTGTTGTGCATATGAATAATTATCCTCATCTGGGCCCTAGAGATGACCTCAGTCTTGAGGTTAAACATCTCTAGCTCGAGTGAGCCTCATCGTCCACTGCTGGCAGATTTTTTTTTTGGCGAAGAGGACAGGAAGGGGCTGTCTGGGATCGTTTTGTGTGAGAGGGAGACAATTGAGAAAAGAGAGCTCTTGCCACCCAGTCACTCAAGCCTCCAAATAACAGTCTCCCTGTTGTGTAGTATTTATGATAGTATTTATCTCCCACTGCTCTGTTATTCTCAGAAGTAATCATTAGACTGTGATGCCTAGATCAATACTGTCATTAGTGATGCCCGGTATATGTTTTCTGTTGGAGCACATCTAACAATACAACGTGTGGATTTGCACTTGCTGTTAGCGACGGGCACAGTTTGGCTCATTTGATTTCTTGTAATTGTCATGAAAATATAGAGTGTGTGTAATTATTTGGAAGCCAGAAGTCTCGACCCCGTCACAGCTCAAACATGGCAATGCTCCATAATGTGCAGCTGAGGGTCCTTACATTATAACAATGGTAATTTTCTATATTTTTCTTATTGAAGAGATGCAAACTAGCTACAAATGTATTTGACTTAACATACATCCAGAGCCTGGTTTAGTGTGTCTTACAGCTTTGTGTCCCATTATTGTCCAGAAACTTTTACGAACTCATTATTGAGTCACATGTTGCACTGGGTGACATGTCTTCTTCTGGAGCTCTGGCCCCAAGGGGCATAAGCTAAATCCAGCTTTGGACACAGCCAGTACGATTCAAGTTGCGGTTCTCATCTTTCAATGGGATTTGTTAACACAAGGAAATGTACAAATCACCAGTTATCCTGTAATGTAGTGTGTAGGGGTTATTAGGTTTTTGTGTCCAGTGATATCAAGGGTCAGCCAATATTCCTCATGGTGTAACGAGTTCAAAACTCATGTGTCGCTGAGATCAAATGCCCTGTTTTCTTTGAACTATTATGATGATAATAATACACAGTCTTACCAATAACGAGCCCGTTTCTATCTCTGCTGTTTTATTTATTTATTCATTTTTTTACATTTTACATTACATATCCTTCTCCTCTAGCTGTGCTTTGCTGTCTCTATCTTTGCCATCTAACGAAGGGCCCAAAACTCTGAATGCCTCTCCCCGATGGAACAATTGTGGCAGAACGTTGAGCTCACAACCTGAGGAGAAGTCCATCTCTGTCACCCGCGGCCTGAAACATTTGCAAAAAAAAAAAGAGAGGGAGAAAACAACTTTTGTCTCTGGTTCATGGTTTCCGCCTCTGGAACTCTGCTTGTAGACTCATTAAACTGT